AAATCAAAGAAAAAGAAGGGGGGGGGGGGGGGGGGGGTGGGGGCGGGGGATTACAGGCAATTTTCCATTTGTATCACTATTCTTACTGTGAATTATTTGGCAATCTAAAATATTTTGGAAGGGATAAAATAAAGGATCTACAATACAACTAGGATTTTCAGATGAGATAAAAAAAAGAAGCATGGGGCACGTTTGCTTGACACAGCTATTTAACCCCAGTAGCTTTAAAGCTGCACTAATACATATTTTACATCAACAATATATTTAATGATGTGAAAGGTGTCGCTTGTGGTGATGATTCCAAACCATGGGATCATCCCGACTATCAAGCATTTTAGCCTCTTAGCTATTTGTCTTGGTTTTCTGGCCTGTAAACTGCTTTCTTTTGCTTACTCAGCAGTTTTCAACAGGAAAGCTAATTAAAGTTCCCTATTTTAACTTGTTTTCTTCAACCCCCCCAAAAAACAATGTTGCTTTAATGTTTTGATTCATCTGTATGGCCGTATCACATATATTCTATTTCAGTTCAAGAGGTGGAACAACACTCAAATACAAATATTTCTTATATCGTTTGCAGAATGTATAAACATTTCCGTAGATTTTGGGATCCCGCCAGAATAAAAAAAAATACAGTTTTCAGGGTTTGAACAATGTTTTGCTTGTTGTCCGTGAGGTTTAAGTGGTTATTAATAAATAATAAATATTTATGAACTCAGACTGTTTTGTTGCTAACGTTCAAGACAAAATCTGCATAGAGATGGGTGTTAATTAAAATATTGATTATCCGGATTCAGTGGAATTGTATCCTGATAAAATTATCATGTAATGTAGGATTTTTCTAACTTAATGCATTCAAATGTAAGTTGATTGCATTGTATTTTGATTCTTGTATGTTTGCATTTACTCTACATATTGTGATATATTGTAATACAGTATATCAGTATTGCAAACATATTCTTATCACTATAGTATATGATATTGATTCCAGACATATAACACAGCTCTACAGTTTATCTGCATTATACTCAACATCTCAGAAATGGTTCAGCCTCATCAGAAATGCAAATATTATTTATAAAATAAATTTTTATTTGGCCGTTTGACATGCCGTGTTGCAGCGTTTCGTTTGCTGCATCAATTACCTTGTGGCTGATTTGGAGCTTTATTTTGCAGCCTGTGCTTGTGAGCTTCTCCTTCCTCGCTCCAGCAGTCATTGAATAAGCCAGCAGGTGTCCACGGTGCATACCTGTGCTCACTGACAAGTACTAACTCACTCTTCCTGCAGGCTATTGCAGAGGAACGCACAGCAATCATAACAATCAGAAGATTAAAGTGGCTAAGAGAGGCGGAAAGGGAGGGGAAAGAGAGTGCGTACATAAAAAAATAAGGATGATAGAAGTTAAATAAAAGAGACAAAGGGAGGCGAGAGTGCAGGAAAGGGTGAAGAAAGGGTGACAGAGGTAGAGGGGGAGAAAAGGGAAGAAGATAAAATAAAAGTCAGGAGTTGCCTAAAGCCACAGCCATTGGTTTAGCTTGTGAGGGGAGGAGGGAGAGGAAGAGAGAAATCATCAACGAACACCTGTCTGTCTGACTCCTAATAAATCAGCATCCTTGTTATCCGTCTGCAGGTCTCTTCTGTTTGCAGAGAGGAAGAAGAAGCATAATGTGAAGGTAGATGGAAAGGCGTGTAAGCATACAGTTTATCCCTGCAGCACAGTGAGAAAAGTACATGATCAGCATTTCAGAATCCCACGCTGAGGAGGCATATGCATTCATCAAACTACATTTATTTTGGTCTAAAAGGTTTTAAATGCAAAACAGCTCACACATCAAAATATGTCCTATATTTCACTGCTGTTTACAGTATCTTACAGCAGCAACTCTGAGAGATCCTCCATAGTTCAAGTAGAAAAGATGGACATGCCTAGCATCCAAGCACAGTTCACATGTACAGTATATGTGTATATACTTTGCATACTAGTGTGTAGATGTCTATATATGCTCTTTGTCACATTGAAGACAACAGACAATCTATGTAATAATAACAGCTCACAATCATTAAAAATGACAAAAAACTGAAAAAAAGCCAGCTAGTGGTTAAAGGTAGGTGCACTTTGACCTCCAGTCAGAGGCCATCAGAAAAAAAACAACCACAATGTAAACTCAAAGGGGCACTCCACTGATTTTACACATGATGATCAGCTTACTCACTATGGGGAGTACTGGACAGCCTGGAACACAGGTTCTTTAATGTTGACTGTTGCAGCACTTTGTCAAGTCTGAGAAAATAACCCTAATGATGTCATGATGAGTTATCTCTGCTTGGGTTTAAAGACTACAAGTGTTTGGGGGAAGTGCAGTTTGAAAGGCATATATTTACCAGGCAGGGAGAAGTTGGGGGGAGTGCTAATATTAGTTTTAATAATATCCTCAGTGCTCCTCGACATAGAAACACAACAGTGTCCTACACAATGCAAGGATACTAAAGGTTCATGGCCATCAGTTCAAATCATTTTAACACAGTGGTTGACTCTAAATATAGGCCATAGTTGGCAGATTTAGCCAAACGTGACCCAGAGGGAATTCATTGAAGCTTGAGATTGTTATCAGTGAAAGAATTTGAAGGTCAGTGATTGGATGTTTTTGAAATTGCACCTTGGTAGGTTTATTTATTACCCGCACCCACACAACCCGTTATTAACGCCCAACTCGCTAAATGCATTACTCAACCACGCTAACCCACCCTCACTGTCAACTTTATGCATTATAGTAGCACAATTGCACAATCTTAGGAGAGACATGCATGATGGGAAAAATAGGAGCCAGTGTTTTTGAAGTTCGACCCACACCAGGGATCAGTCAGGATATCTCAGCCTTTGCTCCATTGTTCCTCAACTTTATAGAAGTGCAATACTAAATGATAGGAGAGCCCCTTTAAAGAGTAACTAAACAGCTCAACAGTTGTATTTCACCTCTGCCCACGCCCAGCTTCACTGATGGGTGTGGTTGGGTGTACTCTGCTAGACCTGCAACCACACCCAACCGTGATGTCCAAGGGTCCTGGAATACACCTGAACATAACTGCTTCAAGGTGAAAACTTAAACCACTGGAGATCAGCAAACACAACATTTTCAGGGGAATTCAAGTTACTCTTTAATGTCATTAAAACCATATAGCATCAATGTAATACTAATACTCCGGTTGGGTCTGATGCACACTGCTGCAGGTATTAGGTCAGTGTGAAATTGTAACTAGAATGAACTGAACATGAAGTCTATTAGCATTAACAGTTCATGCTGCAAATTTAGTTAGCCACTAGAAACACAACGACTTAAATTACTGGCATAGATGTGGCTTCACTAAGGTACATATTATGCCTGTTACTTTGTGAGTGTTGCATTTTGGACACGGACGCTATTGAGTTTTTCCACAAACTAGCCAAATAAATGTCACTATTCATCTATACATATATTAAGACATTACTTTTACATTTCTGCCAAGACAAAAAATGTATGCAGGTTTAAAGCAAATTGGGGGCAGCGCATCAGCAAACCGTATAAATCACATGTTCTGGGTGTTTTTCTTCCGTTTCCTTCAGGTCCGCTAGGGCTGGGTTGCTGTCGGGTCAGTACCCCGTAGGGATAAGAAAGATGTGGATCCTTTTCAGATCAAAGACCGATTTTGGAACATCTGAAGATACATTTCTATAGGCCTAAATATAAGTCTTAGACTTGTGTTGAAGAACTGTGGTCTCCAGATGAAAAGGTGAGTTTAGCCTCCGTTACACACGTGCTTATATTAAAGTCTGCCCCGAGGTATGCACATTAGTGAATGAAATGAAAACAATCCCAGTGCAGCGCCAGTATTTCACTCAGGGACAAAGTTCACTCATGTTATCCCAGATGTGAAGGAGTGTCTTTTATTCCTCCAATATCCCCTCAAACCACTCGCACCTTTCCGGGCTGGAGTCCTAACTCATGTTTCCAAAGGACGCGTCGCTTGCTTCAGGGGAGGCCATGCAGTTGGGTTTGGACGCAAAAGGAATGGGGAAGGAGCACAGAGACAGAGGAGAGAATTAGTTCTGTCAGACTGACTACTGCAAGAGTGGAGAGGGGGAAAAAAAGCTGACACAGACAATCTATGTTGCAACATGCTACTAAGTTACAGCTGGCTGCTACTATTATTTTTACATTGTGAAATTTGCAATAAAACATTTTAGTAAAATATGACAATTTGCGTTCTTCCTGAGAATGTAACTATAAGCTTGATGTCAATCTCATGTCTGTGAGTTCAGTATGAAGCTAGAGTCTGGATGTGGTTAGCCTAGCATAGCTGTCAGCCTTGAAGGAGATCACAACAGCTATCCTAGCAGCACCTCTAAAGCTAACTAAGTAACATGTTGAATCGTAATAATATTGGGGACTTATGCGTTTACACTTTCGTGATGAACAGGTGGGCACAGTGACTGTGTGCAGCCTCACAAAATGTTGTTGTGGAGGTTGCCAGGTTTGGTATAGTATTACACCTTTACAGAGGCTAAAACCATGACCTGTGCTTACAGACTGTATCTGGCAATCGGTCATGCTGCAAAGAAAGCACCTGCTGTCCAAATTAATGATTTCCAAGCAAAATTGTAACAAAACAGTTGTTTGTGCTAAAATACAGTAGAAGACAAGTAACTGCGCAAATCATCACTTTCAATAATTTTACGTATCACTGTATCACCCAGCCGACATCTATGACAAACAGCTCCAAAATAAAGAGACAGGGAGCGCCACTAGAATTTGTGTGCCCCTTGATAACAGCAACTATCTTTTCTAGCACCACTGGGGCCCTATCTTTTACAGATATTCTGTTCGCTATTCTGTTATGTTACTTATTTATCACATATATCAATTGATAACATAGTTTTGTCGAGAAATGATAAGAGGTGTTACAGTGCTGTTGTGCTGTGTGTGTTGCGCCGTCCATGATTCAATGCCAGTGATTGAGTAATGAACTTATGTTCCTTTTCATTTGATCAATTCTGCTGTGGTTACTGAAATGCTGACATCCTTCTCGAGAATGCCATTTACTAAGGTGTTGTGTAGTACTCACCTGCCCTCATCCAGCAACATTCACTATATGAGACACATGACAACAACATGGGTCAGAGCACAGGGACACACACACAGACGCACAGAGGAGGATGAAAACACATTCTATCGGACGGTATTCTCCACAAACAAAATGTGGATGTGCAGGCTGTGATCCTTGAAGTGTGCGTTTGAACTGTTCTACTGATTACTGTTTACTTCCTGCTTGAACGTAATGCTTTAAAAGAGCAGCAGCACTAATAGAGGAAATTCTAACGTATGCCAACAGCCCACAAGCTCTATGGATTATATTCATCTGACATATTTGGCTCGGATCCCACACAGATTACCTTTAATGATCATGTTGCATGCAGTGTAGCGAGTTTATAACAGCTAGTCGAGCCCCAGGTGCTTTGCAAATGCTCTGTTGAAGTGTGTGCACGGGTGGGTGAGCTTTTAAACGCCTTTAAAATCTGGAATTCATTTATGAGAATCAACAGTGACAGGTTTAACGCTGCATGTGAACTCTGGTGGTGCACTGTTTCATTGATCACCTGTGTGTTACCAAACAGTGCAGAACATCAACACCAAATATTAAAAACAGGATTATGAAATTTAGGGGAGGTGTCATAGAGCTAATACGGACCTACGTGAGTATCTAATTAAATAACAATAAAGAGTCTGTATTATCCATAATAGCAAGGACATTGTTCTGGTCACCTTCATTGGATTTGTGTGGCAGCAGATTTGCAGCAGTTTGAGAGGCAGATATCTGTAAACCTCAGCCCATAAAATTAAATTAATAGCTAGATAGAAACAAATAAGAATATAATTTTTGGTGATTTGGGTAAACTTATTGTTTGAATTCATTATTATTTTATACATTAGAAAAGTCCGGGTCAGCAGTTCCCCCCCCCCCTGCTGAGAACAGCCTGGGGTAAGCCCTGCTTTCCCTTCCTGAGTCGTCGGATGGTTTGCCAGAACCTCCTTGAGGCCAACCGAAAGTCCTTCTCCATGGCCTCCCCGAACTCCTCCCATGCCCGAGTTTTAGCATTCGCGACCACCGCAGCTGCAGCCCTTCTGGCCTGCCGGTACCTGTCAGCTGCTTCAGGAGACCCCTGGGCCAACCAGGCCTTGAAGGTCTCCTTCTTCAGCTTGACGACTTCCCTCACCTCCGGTGTCCACCACCGGGTTCTCGGGTTGCCGCCGTGACAGGCACCGATGACCTTCCGGCCACAGCTCCTAGCGGCCGCGTCCACAATAGAGGCTTTGAACATGGTCCATTCGGATTCCATGTCCCCAACCTCCCTCGGGATGTGTGAGAAGTTCTTCCGGAGGTGGGAGTTAAAGACCTCCCGGATAGGGTCCTCCGCCAGACGTTCCCAGTTCACCCTCACTACACGTTTGGGCTTGCCGGGTCTTTCCAACCGGTTCCCCTGCCATCTGATCCAACTCACCACCAGGTGGTGATCAGTTGACAGCTCTGCTCCTCTCTTCACCCGAGTGTCCAAGACATACGGCCGCAAATCAAATGATACGATTACAAAGTCGATCATTGATCTCCGGCCTAAGGTGTTCTGGTACCAGGTACACTTATGAGCCACCTTATGTTCGAACATGGTGTTCGTTATGGCCAAACCATGGCACGCACAGAAGTCCAATAACAAAACACCATTCGGGTTCAGATCGGGCAAGCCGTTCCTCCCAATCACCCCCCGCCAGGTTTCTCCGTCATTGCCCACGTGAGCGTTGAAGTCCCCCAGGAGAACTATGGAGTCGGTAGGCGGCGCCCTTTCCCTCTCCTCCCACCGACTCCAAGAAGGCCGGATACTCTGAACTGCTGTTTGGTGCATAAGCACAAACCACAGTCAGAGCCTTGCTCCCCGCAACCCGTAGGCGCATGGAGGCGACCCTCTCGTTCTCCGGGGAGAACTCCAACACAGCGGCGCTCAGCCGGGGGCTCGTGAGTATCCCCACTCCTGCCCGGCGCCTCTCACCCTGGGCAACTCCGGAAAAGGACAAAGTCCAACCCCTCTCCAGGAGCTTGGTTCCAGAGCCAGCGCTGTGTGTGGAGGTGAGTCCAACTATATCTAGCTGGTACCGCTCCACCTCCTGCACCAGCTCTGGCTCTTTCCTGGCTAGCGAGGTGAAGTTCCACGTCCCTAGAGCTAGTCTATGCTGCTGGCGATCGGCTCGCCCAGGCCTCCCGCCTGACCTGCCGCCCGGTCTGCTTTGCTCGGCGTCGGGCGGTGGAAAGAGCACTTGGAGGAACTCCTAAACCCGACCAACATGTCCTCTGCAGAGGAGGCAGCACCTGAAGATCTAGGGGGAGGCTCACCCATATCCCTGGCAGAGGCCGCTGAGGTAGTCAAAAAGCTCCTCGGTGGCAAGGCGCCGGGGGTGGATGAGATCCGCCCTGAGATGCTGAAAGCGCTGGACATAGTTGGGCTGTCCTGGCTGACACGCCTCTTCAATGTCGCATGGGGGTCGGGATCAGTGCCCATGGACTGGCAGACCGGGGTGGTGGTTCCCATTTTCAAAAAAGGGGACCGGAGAGTGTGCTCGAATTACCGGGGTATCACACTACTCAGCCTCCCGGGGAAGGCTTATGCCAGGGTGCTGGAAAGGAGGCTCCGACTGTTTGTCGAACCTCAGATTCAAGAGGAGCAATGCGGATTCCGTCCCGGCCGTGGAACAGTGGACCAGCTCTTTACCCTCGCAAGACTACTGGAGGGGTTCTGGGAGTTTGCCCAACCAGTCTACATGTGCTTTGTGGACTTGGAGAAGGCTTTCGACCGTGTCCCTTGGGGGTTCTTGTGGGGGGTGCTGCGGGAGTATGGGGTGCCGGACCCGTTACAACGGGCGATCCGGTCTCTGTACGACTGCAGTAGGAGCTGTGTCCGCATTCTCGGCAATAAGTCAGACACGTTCCCGGTGGGTGTTGGCCTCTGCCAGGGCTGCCCTTTGTCTCCGGTCCTGTTCGTGACTTTCACGGACAGGATATCTAGGCGCAGCCGGGGGGTGGAGAACGTCAGGTTCGGGGGTCTCGGTATCGCCTCTCTGCTGTTTGCAGATGATGTGGTCCTGTTAGCCTCCTCGGATCGTGACCTCCAGCATTCACTGGGGCGGTTTGCAGCCGAGTGTGAAGCGGCGGGGATGAGAGTTAGCACCTCCAAATCTGAGGCCATGGTGCTCTGCCGGAAACCGGTGGATTGCTCCCTCCAGGTGGGGACGGAGTGCCTACCTCAAGCGAAGGAGTTCAAGTATCTCGGGGTCTTGTTCACGAGTGAGGGTAAGATGAAGCGGGAGATCGACAGACGGATCGGTGCGGCTGCAGCAGTAAAGCAGGCGCTGCACCGGACCGTCTTGGTGAAGAGGGAGCTGAGCCGGAAGGCAAAGCTCTCAATTTACCACTCGGTCTACGTTCCTACCCTCACATATGGTCACGAACTCTGGGTCGTGACCGAAAGGACAAGGTCGCGGCTACAAGCGGCCGAAATGGGCTTCCTCCATAGGGTGGCCGGGCTCAGCCTTAGAGATAGGGTAAGGAGCTCGGTCATCAGGAGGGAGCTTGGAGTCGAGCCGCTACTCCTTTGCGTCGAAAGGAGTCAGCTGAGGTGGTTCGGGCATCTAATTAGGATGCCTCCTGGACGCCTCCCACTGGGGGGGAAGAGACAAGGGACAAGGGGGGAAGAGACCCCAGGGAAGACCAGAACACGCTGGAGGGATTACATCTCCCAGCTGGCCTGGGAACACCTCGGGATCCCCCAGAATGAGCTGGAACATGTTGCCGGTGAGAGGGAAGTCTGGGTCAGCCTGCTTGGCCTGTTGCCACCGCGACCCGACCCCGGATAAGCGGAGGAAAATGGATGGATGGATGGACATTAGAAAAGTTTGAGGATAACTTCGATATGATTTAACATTGATCACTATCATCTCTGCACACATCAATGCATATAAATGCTCTCATGCTTATCAAATACAGCCTCATATTTCCCTCTCATTAAAACATGTGAGGACCCCCGATCTAGAGTCTAAACTGGCTCTTGTCCTAAATATTCAAATACAGAACTTGTGTGTTGCATTGTGTGTGTGTGTGTGTGTGTGTGTGTGTCCCACACTCTACTGACCTGGGCTGGATGTGACTGGAGTGGCAGGGGCGGCCCCTCGGCCTCGACTCACCAACAGAGCTTCCTGGTTTTCGGCCAGAGCCTGCTTGGCCAGGTAGCGCTCTCTCTTGATCTTCAGCTCCAGGGACCCGGGGACATCAGGCACGATCCAGTCGATGGCTCGCAGCACGAAGAACACCACATGCTGGTGAAGGGGAAGACGTGCAGACAGCAAGACATTAAGCTCCTCGCCAGATACAAGAAAAAGGCAAGTCAAACAACTTTAAAAAAGATGTTGAAAGCAACATTTTGAAAAAGGGTTTCACCCAGGTCTTGCATATGCTCATGCAACTTAATAAATATGAACTTTGAAAGAGAGACGGGGAGAAGAAGGCGTTGGAGAAGAGGGCAAAGACAGAGAAAGTGAGACATGGTAAACTAGCAACTACAAAATAACATATTAACTACTTATATGGGTCAGCATTACACAAGATGGAAACACTAAAACATACACTAAGAGAGGGCTACATTGGTAGTATTTCAAGTACGCTGGGAACAGAGGCACAACAGGGAATAAGGATGTGGGTGAAAGATATTAATGGTAAATATGTGGGCATTAAAATCACTGAAATAGGCAGAAAGAAACAGATTAGCAAATATATACAAAGCAGCTCCCTTCATACCTCGAAAGCAATGATAAAACCAAGTCTGACGGCAAGAAGCTCCCAGAAGAACAGTGAGTAGTTTCCATCGTCGTCTCTGTATGCTTTATATCTTAAAAAATAGAAAATAAAACAGAGTTACTGCAGAAAATACTGTGTAATGGTTAGTGTGCATGATATGCAGCAGCAACTATGTGTTACACTTCAGTAACACTATCCTCTGATCTTTGATCTGAAATCAACAAGATTAAAATTAAAATTTGGCATTTTTTCAGGATTTTGCAATAATGACATGAAACAAAACATATTTGAGAGGCAAACTATAGAATTTCAAACCAAAGTGTTTCCCCACTCTTAGATGACATGCATTCAGACAATCAGCAGACAGTTTACCTGCACATGGGGTTCTCAGTGTAGTTCAGTGGGGCGTAAGCTAAGGTGAAGTTGACGTATCCACTGAGATCGTTACCAAACTTGAACTGGTAGAGCAGACGAGGTAAAAAGTCTGATGTAAAGGCTATTAGGAAAGCCTGCGGACGGCAAAGAGAAAAAACGACAAAAGATGACGTTGGAGAAAAGAGATTAGCATCCAGTCTGGCGTGGATTTAATTTTCAATGGGCTCACGTTGGCGATGACGGACAGGTGCGACAGGGCTTCCAGTATGTTGAACCAGACTCCGATGTTCTGGGCGCGCTCAGCCACCGGCCGGCGGTACTCGCACGCAAACTTGTGGGCGTCCAGGCGGATTTCCACCCAGTTGTTGAGGAGGGCGAAGAGCGGAGCGAGGGGGAACGCTGCCACGAAGATGGTGATGAACCCAAACTGGAGCACTGCACAGCAAGTTTTTTTTACATACGTTCATCATAATCTATTTAATAAACATTTGAATAACAGTGACATCATGTACTTAGAATACAGTAGCCGATACTTGCCCATTTCCAGGTACTCTTCGAACAGGCCCTCACACTCCACCAGCTTGTAGTCTTCCTCCCAGCGCCGAGGCTCATGGGATGCATTCTTCCCCAGTACCTTGGCCAAAGTCCTCTTCTGCTTCCAGGCCTTCACTTTACTATCAGAGCAAATAAAGATGAAATAAACATGACAATAGCGTTAATATAGAACTTTTGTAGTCAACACATGGAGGTCAGAGGTCATGAACAAAAACATCTACAAAAACAGATGTTGATTTGATCTTATTCTAGTTTAAAATGCCTTTCATGTTTGTGAACACAGTTTTTATTTATCTTTTGTCTCTACTGTTGTCATTTTGTACACCCTGGTTACAAACTATAATTCAAAGATATTACATTACATGGATAACTGTTAGCTTAATTTCAGTGTTGATGATTTGCCATGAGCATGGGTTTTTCATCTCTTCAAAGCTGGAAACATTGTTTGACAAGTTGTTGTCAGAGTAGCCAGTCTCTGAGGCTCAAATCTTCAAAAGCAGTTACAGACGGTTCTATTGGGGCTTTGGAACTGGCAACTTAGTTCTTAATTCTTGCTCTGCTGTAACACAAATCTGCCTAAAACTCTCCGTACATGTCAAAAATCAGTACCATATAGCCATTTTAGCTCAATCCCACTATAATAATAATAATAGCACACAAACAATCTTTTATGGTATTGTATCTAGGTATGAGACAAATCGGGTGCAAAGCAGGTTTCCTTTAAAACGTGCCCCTTTCATCTCCTCAGTTGCAGCCCTCGTCTGAGATATGAGCAAGAACGAACGACTGGAAACAGGTGCGCTGATCCACCCTGCCAGTGTTTCAATTTAACCTTCCCTTTGGGTCATCAATAGGACAAACCTATTCTTCAAAGGATTGAAGACTTGAATTGGGACAGCTACAGTATAGCAAGAAAAAAAAATACTTCAACAAGCAGAACAAGCCTAGCTGCCAACTCACACATTTAGCTACAATAAATCTCTTAATCAATCTTACAGCAGCTGCACATAAGACTTATACACCTATTGTTATCAGCATAGAGATCTACATAAAAATATATGGCCTTGATTTCACCCTGACAACTGCACGCTTATGTAAAAGAAGTGGTGTACAAAATAGAACTTGCCATGACTAACTATAGCAAGTAGGTATGTCAAGAAAAGTTGAAGCAAAGAAAGCAGTAACACAATAAGAAGAAAATCTGTCGACCCCTACACCCTTGTCCTCAGCTTTTCCATGCAGTTTCCATTCTGCTGTCAGTTTCCGATCATCTTTTTAAACATCTCAGGTTGTGTTCCGTTTCACAGGCAAGTAGCATTACCACGAAGCCTCACAGCTCTCTCTCTTTGGAAGGCCCCTACAAACTGAAGGTAACTCTTCGGTTTACCAAAGCTCTCTGAAATCTGATTCTGCCCTGTTACACCCACCCACCCACACAGTGTGCCAGTGCTGCAGAGGTACACCAGTGAGCTTTACTGCACCAAACAAACAGAGCTGCAGTGCCGTCTGATGCAACACCTCAAAAAACAATGTCATGCAGGCAAAAAAAAAAGAAGCAACGTATGGGTTTCAGTACGGAGTACAAATATCACATGCCCATATTATGCTAATTCTACTTTATTCTGATATATTTCATTCTATTTGACAGTTCTGGTTTAGTTTTTTAAGGCTATTTATGAGTTCAAGCTGATGATTATCATTTAATTTTGACAAATTGTACTCCTGTCCGACTCAGAAAACCTTTTCTCGAAGAGGCTTGTAAGTTCAACAGACAACAATTTCCAGGAAAATAACAGTAAAATAACAGGAAACCAGGACTGGTATATACTGTGGACAGGAAACATACGGGATAATGAACTCCTGAATGTTGTTGATGAGTTGCTTTCCCACCATGATAATGAAGAGTTGCTCAGCCAGTTCAATGAGGCAACCACCAGGACCACACTGCAGTAGAGTGTGAAGACACAGAAACACAGAGCGATATGACATTTTTTTACACACTTTGATAAAAAAAAAAAATACAACAGCAGGGATATGCAATACTCCCTCCCTTTGACATGTACTGATAGATTACAGACTCACATCTTCATTTCTCATCCCAAACAAGGTCCCATAGTTGCTGGGGTAACCCACAAACCTACCCACACAGAGACGTAAGGAAGTTAAAATCTGTTCTTCATTCATCAATATTTTCTGTGTGTCTGTTGAAGACTGACTTGTGTCTCACCTTCCTTTAAAGAAAGCCACATAGAAGGGGGACGAGTAGAAGTTGACAAACTGGAAGATGAACACCTTGAAGATGAAGGCATTGTCATACTGGGTTTGTGTTCTGTGCATCTCTGCAACAGAGAAAACACGGACACAAAACATTAGAGTAAAACTAAAGTCATCATTTTACTGTTCGCCTTTGTTTTCTCTTCCACATAAGTTTGCCTAACAACAAAGGGTTTGCTTAAAACCTGTCTAGGCATCTGACAGTGCATGTTGTCATGTAACTTGGTGAATATATTGTTATCTTAACTTAATGAAACAATTTGGACAAAACTATGTAAAAACAAACCAAGAAATGAACTGAAATCATCCTCTATGAAAGCAAATGGAGTGAAATCGACACAGCAACTCAGAGCAGAGTGAACCATATCAGACAGCCATTAACGTGAGCTGCACATATTCTGATTGACCCTTGACTATTTCTAGCCACCCTCGCTGAGTTGCTCATGAGATGGCCCTGTTGGTCGGTTGCTATGTTGGTCAACCCCTTTGGTTCATAAGAACTTTAGTTTCTGACCAAATAGGTGAAGAATTAATGACATTTCTATCTGGTTTTGCCCATTTTCTTGTGCTCAGACAATGGTGACCACGGTAAACTTGATTGTCTTACTTGACTCTTGTTGTGTTTAGCTGTAAGCTAACTAGCTCAAGTAACAGCATCTGGTAAGATGTTGAAAATCATCATCAAATTTTAAAGTGACATAGATGCTTGGAAAATTAAAATTTGGGGATGCACACACACTACCTATAGATACCGGGGAAGACATCTCACTTAATATTTTATCTCTTCACTTAAGTCTTTAACTAGCTATCAATGACTTTCCTGATACAGGCCTGCAACTCTATCGTGTCTCTTGTTTGTGTGCTATTGTGTTTAGTTAAATGATAACATCAGTGGTTGGCCACAGCAAGGTTGCACCCTAGAAAAAGGCGATCTGAGGTAGCCTCTGTCTCTTAGAAAATTCAAATCTCCACAACTGATGTGGAAAAAAAAAGAGATAAGAACAGAGCAGAAAAACAGAGGCCATTTGATGCTGCTGTAGTGTTCACTGATGTATACTGTATGTGCATGCGGCAAAAATGGGTCCTGATCTTATTAATAATTAAATATGTTTATTGTTATTCTCCATCTTATCGCTATGCATTTGATGTATACCCTTTTTTATCAAGTTTGTTTTATTTTCTATCTTATTTCACATTATGGCATTCTAACCCTGTTTTGATGTTCATTTTATGTCTATTTTCCTTAATTATAAAAGAGTTTGAGCTGCATTTCTGGTCTAAAAGGTGCTATTCAAATTAAGTCTACTATTATTATTATTAATACCCCAGAGGCTGAGATCAAATTCAAGACATCATCAGCTCTTTGAGGAGTCTCATCTTTTAGTTAGTGGAGATTCAGTGAGAGGCTGATATCAATATAGATAGAGCATTCTGGTTTGAGGTGTTGAAGAGCGGTATTGATTCTTACCCCATTTAGTGAGCTGCTCAGCTAATGCAGTGTAGACCTGCCCCATCAACAGGATAAGGCCCAGATTCACAATACTGCCAGAGATGTTGGCTATGGTCCCTGCCTGGAGAGACACACAGAGATGTTGAAGGAGCTGACGTAGACCTGTAGCGTATGTAGTCAGTACACTGCTTTTAAATATAAAATATATTCACAATAGAACAAATTAAATTCACACATCCATGGATGAAGAGGCCTTATGCAACTCTGATATACCTCCGTACGCAGGACGGGGCTCCCGGTGCGGAACATCATCAAGCTGATGATCCCTCGGCACATGACCACCGTCACCAGGAAAATCATCACCACACACAGCTGAGAGGGAAGAAGCAGGGACATTGGGAGGAAAACATCACAGTTGGTGGATTTTGTGAAGGAAAACAGCAAAGAGATATTCCGAACTTTTGAACAACAGTATCTCAGTGTCGTAGTTCTTCGTGAGATTGCTGCTTACAAATTATATCGCACACCATCATAGCCAAATGGGGTGCAGCCATCATCGTCTATACCACACTCCTCCTATTTGGCTGATTTTTCCAGATACCGGTAAGTGGTCATAGATACTATTCTATGCAGTGTGCCTTTACGGAGCTGGTCCATGGTAGCATTTTCCATTTTCCACCTCGATCATCATTGTCAGTAGAAGGGTTGGGAAAAATGATCCTCAAATCCCTGTCCAAGAACAAGTTAATCCTGAGACTGAACATAATGTGTATGGCTTAGATTATCAGATAATATCCAGCCCTGTGGGCCAATGACCTGGATTCATTATTAGAGAAAGGTTCAGTTACCACTGCAGGATTCAGTGGAATAGCACACAGGTGTGAACTCCACCTCTCTTTCTCTTCAGGGTCACAAAAGTAGGAGCTGAATAGACACACTGTAGAATGGCAATGATTGTTTGACTTGATAAAAGATTATGTCTATAGAAAACAAGTGGAGTAGTTAATCACAGTAATCAAACAAACTGCAATGTGTTCATCCGATTAGAAGTTGGTGTTATTGAGAATCCAATATATTGCATCAGGAAAACATGCTAAAATTAAAAGAGCACAATATCTGCCTTAACACACAGGTAAACAGTGTCTCACCATCATAATGATGACCATGGAGCCAGTGAACATCCGGGACAACCTGGTATTTTCTGGAAAGTAGGGCTCTTTCACCCCAGTCACTGGGTTTTGTTCCATAGTCGGGGCCATGGCTGCGAACTCTGGACGAGGACGCTCCTGAGGAAACACAGTGATGACATCGGCATCAATGGACACACTCTTTGCTATTTTGCTGAGAACGATCCAGCTGCAGACTTCAGGTCTAGCGACCCAATGGGTACAGACTAGAGTACGTTCTCCAGAGGTGACGCTTGTAACGCCATTAACATAACAGCTAAAAATGTTTTATTATTTTTGTTGTTTACTCAGGATGGGAAGGTAACAGTATTCTAAGTTTTGTGTAAAAAGTTCCCATGGACTTAAAGGGCCAGTGTGTAGGATTTGGCGGCATCTAGCGGCGAGGTTGCAGATTGCAAACAACTGAAACGCCCGTGAGCCAAACGAGTAGGAGAACTGCGGTGGCCCATGCCAAAGAGCCACTGTTTGGTTTGTCCGATCGGAGCTAATGTAGAAACATGGTGGTGCAACATAGCAGACTCCGTGAAGAAGACCTGTTCCGTATGTAGATTTAACGGCTCATTCTGAGGTACCGAAAACAGACTATTTTCAGGTGATAATATACACTGGCCCTTTAAGGTCTGCAGTTGGAATCTGTTGGGATTAATAGCCGCTGAATCATTATCTACCTAAGAATCATAAAGTTTATGAGACCAACATGGTCATACTCGTATTGAAAGCAAGCAAGAAAGGAAGGATTGTGAGACCTCTTCTTCATGGAAGTCCATGCAGTCCCAGTGATGGGCCAGGGTGGCCATCTTTCGCTTCCAGTACTCCAGGAAGGTTACGGCCCAGAAGGACATGAACACACTGAAGAGGACTGTACCTGGGTGGTCAAATAAGTAGCCCAACTGCAATGCAGAAAGTACATCAGCTTAAAAGTATTTTTGCATTATAATTAAAAAAAAAAAAACAGGGTTAGCGAAATGATTTGAAGTTCGTTACCTTGGCCATAGTGCAGATATCAGACATGTTCCAGGCCTTGCATGTATTACAGAGAGGACACATCAGATAACTACCTCCGCTGTTACAGATGTCCTTACTGTTGACACATAGACACTGATTAGTTACAACTGAGAAAACACGTTTTAAAGCTTTCAAACAAGGACCGCTTTTCAGATTCTGATGCATCAGCTGGCCGAAACCATTTGACAAAAACAATACTCGTGGTTATAAATGTGACAGCTAAGCGATTGGGTGGATTAACTGTGATGTGTTTTGCATTCACACCAGGCCAGGGCATATTGATTGAGTGAGAAAATAGGACGGATGGAGGGTGTTGAAATCAGTCTCCCAGCAGAGCTACTGCACTTTCACTTATTGCAGTTATTCAGTGAGGCACGACAATGACTACACACAAGCTGCACAAATAAAGCCTGGACTTACTGAGAAACATCTATCTTCCTTATTTATGTCATGTGGAGATTATCAATCTGCACTAGTAGTTCATTATCACATGAGATGGCTGCAGTTTGTTTCCGCAGACTGCTCTCCATCCGCTCTACACTAATCAGAAGCTTTAATCTAAAGTCTGAACTAATGAACCTCATTAATCTGAGACATTTGGTTGTATTTCTTCCTGAGATATTGACTTGCCTTCCGTTCTCTCTAACCTCCCTCGTTACTTTATTGAGGGATGAATTTTCAATCACGAAAACCAACAGGAGGCCATAGAAAGAGAACTGTTAACACAAAAGTGTGTTTGCTTCACCAATTGGTGAAGCAAACACACTTAACTACAATGCTATGTAGGTAGAGTAGAGCCCACTGCATTGATGAATAATGAATAAGAATTTGGGCACAGACATACCCCTGTGGATTGAATAATCAAGCGGTTTGTTTTCATGCAGGGTGGACTCTGCTTTGATGCTTTGGTATATTTGTATGTAAAACTGGGCCAGCTTTACATAATGTGGGAGGAAGAGTGTAAGTAGAGTTTGAATTTCTGCACGATTCCAGTATCCATTCAAGAATCTTCTGTCTGTGTGTGAGTTAAGTACGAGGCTGGACTATTGCAATGGTGCTGGATACCATTTCTTTAAGCAAAGGTTTTGGAATAGGTGTCTGTACAGGCATTATGGTACTAAACCTGGCAACCTCACTGCAGCAACAAGACACCAGGAAGTCACTACTAACACAAATACAGTCCTACTAGTACTGCCAGTACTAGTACGATAGCGTACATATCATAACATAATGGCTGTAAAATTGGCGGATCTCCCATTTAAGATTTTCACCAAAATAACGTGATGTATTTAGCAATTAAACATGTAGTTTCTGTGTAGTGTGTGGACTCACGCGGGTGCGTTGGTACCCATGGACATGACTCCAGACACAAAGACCAGGGTTCCAACCACAGCCGCCGGCAGCAGCCAGGCTGTGTAGAAACCTGCAGAGACATAAAGCTCCATTAGACTGCAGCTCTCGGCTGATGCAGGGATGTGCAATTACATTGCCGTTTGATGCTGGAATGTCCATGATGAAGAGGTCGGGTAGGCATTGCAAAAGACGAAAGCTTGTACATCACCCCAAATTACTAATTTCAAAGCTCTGAACCTAATGTGTCTGAATACAAATTCGTATTTACCCAGCCAGGCAAAGTAGAGTGCAATCTTCTCTCCAAAGTACTCCCTGATGTGGTCCAGTGGTTGGTACTTGTACCATTTGCCCCAGCGGGCCCAGTAGTGGTAAAGAATCTGCCTCTGGTTCAGCTCGTCAGGACGGATCTCATTCTTTGGAAGCTGAAAGGGGCCCTGTGAAAAAACAACAACATGTTGATAAGAGAGAGAACAGAGCACAAGCTTTTCACCCGATTAAAGAGCAGATAAATAATATCGGACCTCGTGCAACGGGAAAGCTGCTTTGTACACCCCTTCATTTACCAGTCTGTCCACACCAACTTCAGCCCCCTTCCTTTTGCCGTACACCGTCCTGGCAAGAATCTCATAGACCTGAAATAACACACACACTCTCACTCCATGAGAGAATCATTTCACCGAGTACATGCACTGTAGAGGAATTCCTGTTACTCACAACACGGTGTCTCTGTGTATTAGTGAAGTAGGATTCATGGTCGTTGCAGCCAAGAAACCTGTAGAAGACGGACATTCATTCAGCCAACATACCCTTTTTATATATTGTGATTCAATCTGAACCACCCATTTATGATCGTTAATTACAACTCACCTGTTCATCTTTGACTTGCGAAAGGCACATGTGTAATAGTCCAGCGGCCTGTTTGGCACTGACTCCATCATTACGTTAGGTATGCATAGTCTCTTCAGAACCTGAGCAGATGTGTTTAAGTCCAGGTTTGGCTGTGCCTGGAAGTCAAACACATCGCAATTCAGTATGAAGAACATTTATGTTCGTTCTCTTTATGAAGTTACAATCCTTAAAATTGTATTTTGTGACACCTGTGGTTACTGGTGGTTAACGGTAAGAACATTTTGCTGATAGAGGTCCTAGAGTTTTGTTAGAAATGTTGAAATCAACCATTTGGGGCAGTAAACACATCATCAGCTACTCCGTCAGTAATGAAACAAAAAAATAGCAACTTGTGTCTGTTTACGACACAGCCAAACAAACTCAGAGGGCTCAGAGGATTCAGTTTCAGTTTTAAGACCAAAAAACAGCCAACAACAGCGTCCATCATGTCCAGTACGTGCATGCATCTGTTCCTGTGAGTTCCTTGTGTGTTGTTATATTTGAAACCTGCTCAGCAGAGGCGGACTCTGCCAGACACAATAAAAGTGGGGTTTGATGTAATAACAACACTATGCACACACTAACACTAGCAGCTCTGTGAGTGCTGTGAGCTAAATGCTAACCTCTAATACTAAATGTGCACGATGACGATTCAGTTCAGTTCACTTCAATGCTACCATGCTGATCTTTAACAGGTGTAATATGCACCATGTACCTGTATAATATATGATGTATAATGTAATGTATGTGTATAATGTGTTTGCCATCTTAGTTTAGCATGCTAATGTACTATAATTAGCACTAAACACACAAGTATGGCTGAGGCTGATGGAAATGTGATTAATTTTGCAGATATTTGGTCATAAACCAAAGTAAAGGACAAATATTTATATCAGATTCTGTAGCAAGCCATCCAATAATCCATAATCCAAAAATGGCAACCTCATGGTTGCACAACAGGAGAAGTCAAGTGATCTCTAAAGTCAGTAGGATACATCGTCTGAGAACCATGAATTTCTGTACAAACGTCTGTGGCAATTCATCTTGTACATATTAAAATATTTCACATGAAAAATGATAACTTTGACCAGCTTGTTGCACAAGATGAAACTTCAGTGGAAATCATTAGAATAACACATAAGATGGGCATCTGAATGTCTATACAAATTCCAAAGCGTTCCATCTCATAGTTGTTGAGATATTTCAGTCTGGACTCACACCCGATAGGCCAAGAGGGCCATCCATACAAATCTTGAAATCTAAAATAGACCCATTAGATTATAAACAGCTGCACTGACCTGCAATGGAGCTCTCAGACAGAGTTCCTCAGCGTAATACAGCAACACATCCCAAGGAGCGCTAAGTTTCAGAAAATGTATCGTTTTCTTTTCATTCGCCGTTTCCTCCTGAAGAAAAGAGAGGCAACACAGGCAGGTTGTTAATAAGGCCATAAAAATAATAAGTAAACTTATTAAGACATATTTATAAGATGATGATCTTTAATCTGATCAACAGCACCTTTTCCATGAGCAACCCAGCACTCTCCAGATTCTGAACAAACTTCTCCCTCCACTGTGCCAGCTGTGCCTTCCTTCGCTCAGACCTGCTGTTCTCCTCTTTTGGCGCTGCTTCCCCCTCCTCAGCGGTCCCCTGGCTCTTCCCCTTCCCTCGTCGTTTCCTCTGCGAGCGAACCTCCCACACCAGGACAAAGTCTAAACCCAGATCAACAAAAAAAAGGTCCAAAAGGTTAAGTGAAGGACTGACTCAGCACTTGTCATCTATCAGTGAGCTTGTGACAACCAATACATTAAGAACTGCTGATGATATACCTACCGATTTTGGTTCTTCCATCTCTGAAGTAGTTCCCCAGCTGTGGAACTGACTGGTTACTTCTTGTATTACAGTGACTATACATGGGATCATCACCACCCATATCGTCAACAGCTGCGGCTGCAAGCTAGAAGCATCCAAACAGCTGAGTTATTATCAAAATCGGTTAGAACTGCTGGCAAAAACAGACTATTTTCTCTTCTTGTCCTTTGTTCTGTTTATTCAGTTAATTTGCCCTCAAAGAGGTTTAACCCATAAGATCCTGTGCCATTACTCAGCATCATAAAAGCCTCCACTTTGCAATAATGAGCCCAGAAAGATGAGTCAGAAAATGATCACTGAGCTTTTTACAGTCTGATTGAGAACAATCTTTCAGTGCAGTTAAGTCCCGTTGCACAACAAGACATTTTTGATTTTCCCGGCAATGTACAGTGCCTCATACCACATTGTACCCCTGTAGATTTCAGATTTACTGCAACATCTCAGAGAAGTCAGTGAGGGGCGAAGGGATGAGCAAAGCAGCAGGGTTATGGCCGCTTTGTGAATGTGCAGTCGTTTTTTTCGATATCTATGCGATTCCTACACAAAAGGAAATACTGCAGCATTATAGGAAAAAAGTCAAATACTGCTTACACATCTAGGTGGGATGTAGCTCCCATTCTGCAGGCTCCCATAGCCATCTGTGGTTTGCACTTCAGCCTCGTAGTCCAGATTCAGGAGGACCTCTCTGTCTCCCTTCAGCAGCTCTGAGCCCTTCCTCAACATGATGAGGCAGATGACAAAAGGTCCTGTGGAAAAAAATCTGTGCTTATTACTGAAGTCATTCTCATGTGACATACGTACTTAAGAGAAAGAGGCTGAAAAGAGAAAAGAATGGCTGATACTGTACCTCTACTGTGGTGAAAATTAGGCTGCCGCTGAAGTCTGGATTCGCAGCAATCTGTGCTTCCCTTGTCCTCCCCCTCTTCTCTATCTCTGCATCCGTCAGGCTCCTCTGCTCCACTGATAACTGTGGAGTACCGTAATGGACCTAGCACGCAGGCAGCAGCCGACCCTTAACAGCTTTTCAGCACAGCGCGCATCCCCACTTCGTAAATAATGTAATAGTCAGTCTGGGGTGGAGAATGGGAGAATGTGGCACGCTCATTGTGCAGGGTATAAGACGAGTGGGGGAAATCTCCTCTTTGATGTGAATGGGTATTCCCTCATCCACACAAGCTGCTTTTGCACATTTTATTTAATTGGTTTCGAAATGTACACACAATTAACAACATTTAGTACCAGCGCTAGAAGAGAAGCTTCACCCCTATTAGCTTCATTTCCTGATGTACGTCATCACAGGCACAAGACTACACGCCTTCAAATGCTGTTGGTCGATTTTCAAAGATCCTCTTATTGGACAGCCTCAAAAATGCATCATAAACAGGTGACACAATTTGTTTTCTCCAACACACCTGCTTCTATTCAGCGGTCTGGTTTGCTGCAGTCAAAACAGAGCTAGATGTATGAAGAGTACATGAAGAGATAAGTAAAGAGGAGGAGGAGAAAGGAGAGAGGGAGGATGCATGAAAGTGTAGCGCGAGAAGAGAGGGATGAATTAAAATTGCATGAGAAAGTGTAAAAAATGTAGAGCAGAGCAAATGAGGGGAAACAGAATGATTCTAACATCAGTATCATTTATTGGATAGAAATACGGTGTGCTGTCTGGATAATTAAAAGTCCCTTAAGAGTCCCCTGCAAAAAACATTGAATTCACCAACTATGGCTAATTATGAGAGCGATATAGTCTATACAACATTACAGAGGTCATCTCAATCAATCTACTGTTTCAACTGAGATTCAAAGTCTTTTGAGAGGTTGAAATTATAAATATAAGAATATGAAAACAATATTTGCGTGGAAAAATACATTTTATAACCATAAACAAAAAAATACTATGTTATGCTGCCAAGTTAAGGCACTTCACCTACACATGTCATCAGGGTTACTTTTTAATGAAATGACTGCGTTACAATTGGGGGTTTAAAGCTCGAAAGATGTGGGCAGGGAGGGTCTAATGAAAGATGCATTCAGATGAATTATGAAATGGATCCATTGTTTTTGAGCTTGACCCAAGTTAGGGACCAAAGTCAAACAAGCACTTCCCTATAATCCTCTTTGATGCTGTTCTGTATAGTTGTGTGCAGAGAAGACGACGCACACTGGGAGAAGAGTTAGGGGCTCGTCGAAACACACGAGGTGCCGTTACGCTGCTAAAATGTATCTGAACAACACCAGCTGTAACTTGTTGCCCGAGCAACTACAAGATAATGAAAAACACCAGAGGCTTTGAACATTTCCCATCGATGCTGCGCTTGATATCGTCTTCTTGTCACCATGGACTCTTTACAGCCGATACTGAACATCTTACATTGCACCAGATACAAAGTTAACTATACTATCTTTAAGTAGATCTATATTCTCAATGTTTTTAAAAAAAAAGACCACATTGGTTGGTAGAAGCAGTGGTTATTGAATGCTATCACTGTAGTATTTGACAGGTGCTCCAAACTTTAAGATCGGACAGCATGTGACACATACCTGATTTTGCTTCACCGCAATTAGAAAAAAAACAAGGCAGACAGAGATTGTGCTGGGTAGCTTCAACTGGGAATATGAGTAATATCAAGACATAACAGAGTGGTTCTGAAGAAGCTCAGCAACCGACCCTTTGATAAATACCTCACATGGCCAAAAGTATGTGAATGCTAGATTAGTACATAGTTTAACATCTCATTCTAAAGCTATCAGCTTGCAACAAAAACAAAAACTCATATCTTGGCTGGCTTTGTGCACGTTGAAACAGGTAAGGGCCTCCTAAAACTGTGGCCCAAAATTTGGAAGCACACTGCTGCCTGAACTATAATTGTATGCTGCAGCATTAGAATTTACTTTAACTGGAACTAAGGAGCGTCGTCCAAACTAAGGAAAAACAGCCCCAAACCAAACATCCACTTGGTACTTTTGATCATATGGTGTAAAAGCTAAAACATAAGTATCGTAAAAAGAGAAGGAAAAGTAAGTAGGTTACTCATTACTACCTACATGATATGTAGAATATCAAGGACAGACCAGATTCTTGTTAATGGGGTTTAATTAAAGAGGTTCATGTGTGACCTCTACTGGTGACTGGGAGGAACTGGAGCTCTATTGAAGAACGCAGCATACAGCAATAGACCACGCTGATCTGACAATATGTCATTTCCTTTTTTTGTTTGGAAAGCATGGTTTTCCAGTCATTCTAGCTTAATTGTCTTCCAGCAGTATTGGTTTGAAAATGGTGTTCTGGGAGTACTGATTTGAAAACAGTGATCAAGGCTGGAAAGTGAGTTTAAAAGTCAGGAATTAAAGTCGGTAAACAACTCAATTCCCTCAGACATATAACATAAGTCAATACGCCATTTTTTGTGTGTGCAGTCTTTTCGCTGACAACCATCCTTTGACATGCTGCACACTGGTGATTAAAGCAGGAACAGCAGTGTGCGATGGTGACTACATTTTTAGTTTGACAGCTTACCTAACGCACAGCTGCTCTCCTACCTGTGAATCTTCTGTCCCTGCTCCAACACGACTGTTTTTGAACGCATGGCATTCCACTGGTTTGACCTACAACAGAACTATAGATGTTAAAAAGAGGATGTACCAGTTCATATAGCGCATGTATCACCACAGGAGCCGAGGTTTTGTTCCAATTTATTCAGTTACGCTGTCCAATCACAAAGGTTTATTTGTACATTCATTACCATTATGAACAGTGTAAAACCTTCTGGACGTATTCATCGGTGTGTACAGTATGTTATATTTGATTAGTGCTCTATTTACAATTCAATTAAACCGCTAAACGTCATACATATATTACATGCAGTAATACAGTTACGAACATAAAAAAGGCGCTTTTTCACAATGCGTCACTCGGAAGATGTCATCCATCATTGGCCAGCAATGTCCCACATTCACAACACTGCTCAAAGAGACTTACTTTAACCGTTTCTTTATATACACTTCATAGGCCACAACTCTATGCAGTTGATTATTTGTCTTTAATCCAACAAACATTTCAAGTAAGTCCAACTTATTGCAAGTGTACTCTCCCCTGGTCAAAAAGCCCTAAAGTAATCCACTGGAGGAGACGAATTTAACTACGCAATTTAACAATCCTATTTCGGAACCCACTGAATTATTAAAGGACTTTTACATAAAACCTTTTCCAACATGTAATATTACTTTGCAGCCTTGTCTGTGTGCGCAAAAATAACTTCATAATGCTGCATCAAACCAAAATTAAAAAAAGGGATTTAAAACAAATATTCAAATTAGAATTAAAAAAAAACCCAAAAAAACCAGCAGCGTTTAAAAAAAGAACATACGGTGAGTCGTAAGGTTTTGGATGCGACGTACCTTTTTCACCTGAGATTAGATTTCTTTGTAAAAAAAGCAGACGACGAATGAGACCAAGCAGCACTTAGAAAGGCTTAAAGCACTGATTAATGCTGACATGTAGGTAACACAGTGTGACTGAGAAAGACATTTTGTACATACAATAAATAAGTGACATATTGTATGTATAGGGCTGGGTATCATTTGAAGGTTTTTGATACTGGATATTTTTCAGTATCGAATATAATCACGTATTTTTTTTTCACAAACATTTGTCATCATCCAATTAAATGACAATGAGCAAGCATTGTGTGCCAACATTCAATGAGGACAGCGTTATGTCTGTCCTTAGAGAGTATCGAGGTTCATACCCAGCCCTACATACAGCACATATTTTAACACAAAAGAGTAAAAAGAAAAGAAAACCCCAACATGAACCTAAGATGAGTGTTCGAACGCAGTCAGCCAAGTCGTACAGTGTGAGGCAACCACAGAAATAAATAAATAGGGCTTCATTTAGTGTAAACGTTTTTTGTCCAGTTCAGTCAAGGTTGACAAAAGGGCAACATTGTCATTGCAAAAGAAATCTCAGGCTGATCTCAGCCTTGAAAGGAGAGCGGTTAGACACCGTCATTGGCAGAGCAGCAGTACTCTCATCAGTGTCATTAAGGGCAGATTGAAACACATACACAACCATCTACCGACTATAGTTTATAGGGAAACTATGAAGGGTTTGGTTTCGGGTCTTCCAATGCTTATCCCGTTTCCAAGTAAAGCTTTGATATTATACGATATTACAGACTATTTTAAAACAATTGGCGAAGAACTGATGCAACACATGGCTATTTAAAGTAATAATCTCGAAGATTTTAATGACCTACTATGAGGTAACACAATGGTGTTTGAGCCGATGGCCCACTGATGACAGCCGTTGCATTTGCAGTATTATGAACCGAGTGTCTGCGGCGACATTCCCGGGAGCACAGTTAGCGACGCCTTCACCATCACCCAGCAGCGGTTGGCTCGCCAGAGAGGGTAGGCGGAGCTAACGCAACAGACTGGCTCTTCAACTCACTTGCGAGTGAAGCGGTGCACTGGTTTTTTCTGGTCTCTGCTGCTGTTGAGACGGTTACTATGGCGAAACAAACAAAGAAAAGATCGATGACTCCAGACAGTAGTGACACTTCAGAAATAAGTGACGCCACACATCCTGTTTGGATCACTGGGAAGTGGGATCCGAAATAAGAGAACTGCAATTACTGCTTTCAGCCAAAGAGAATGAAACGGAGGTCTTTGAGATTGTGACTTTAAGCATCAAACATTGTCTTGCACCACTAAACGACTCGTGTAGAAAGGGATTTTCTAATTTAGCGGAGTGGCCCGATCGCACTGTACAGAGTGCAGCACAGTAACGTGCCACCAACCACTGGTGCAAAGTAAAAATGGTAAGCCAAGACAAGTTGTAGCTCTCAGTCAGTAACAGATTCTTCCTTAAATACTTGCCCACATTAAAGCTGGAACATATATATATATATATATATATATATATGTCAGACGTCAGTCCCCCCGCAGATTGTCCCCAGTCAATTAAATAATTCAGCAACAATTGTTCCCACTTACTCTGCAAAGGTCATACAAAAGCACGTTATGATATGAAAACAAAATCACAACTGGTACCATTACAAAAAAAAAACACTAACAGCAAAAACAATGTGCAAGTCTGCATGGAAGCCTCCACCTGTCTCTACAGAGTGGAGATAAAAAGGCAAGTCTGTCGCATTTCCTGATAGTTTTTCTTCTTTTGTTTGAACGTGTGACAAAGTTTAAATTGGTAAAGAAAGTTCTCAGATAGAGTTTGAGCATGTCATGTACAGTGCAACTGTTAAACATCCAGATATTCTTCGTATTGGGATCCTCATTCTGTATGTGACAAGAATTCAGTGTAGCGGTATGTTGCCCTTAGAGAACCTGAAAACTGACACATACATAACCATCGGTGATTATGCGTTGATACTGTACAGCGCTGTACATTTTGCTCTATAACTGTACCGGTTCAGTAGAACATCTTGTAACTGGTACTAAGCAAGGAGTGACTTATCTTCACACAGTTGTGTGACTTGTGCAGGTCAGAGAGCGTTACTTCTGTCTGTGCAAGGCAAGGAGGGTGAACTTTTTCCACGTAGCAAACGAGCATTGACTGCCCCTTCATGTATGGCTTTCTTGACATACATTAGATTGATTTTGTTTTTAAGTAAACTTTAATAATTTTCTTTTTTTTCACTGTGCAGGGAAGCTGCCGGAACCGGGTCCTTGTCTTCCTCTCAGCTTGTACTAAATGTGTGTTTCATCATCGCTCCCGTTCACATCTCAACGTCAAGGTTTACTTTGTGGAGACAGAATTCTTAAACTCAATACAGCCGGATATATTTGAACGCACGACGTAATGATGACTGGTTTCAAAGTCTCGACACATCAACTGTACATTGTGTACGTTCTACAATTATCCATCGCCATTCCCTTCAGGGCTTTTTTTAGTACAAGTCAAGAAAGCGTCATATCATCTGACCTCAAACTTCTCCTTGATTCAGCATATTTGTTCTGCAGTGCTGCTATTTCTTAAGAAGCTCTAACAAAGGAATAATGGCAATGTGTCACGAGAATCAAATACAAATCAGTTTTATCGTTTTGTTAATATCGATGTCATCGATAGCATGTCTTGCTGCGATGTGTGACGTGCCGTATGCATTGCTACTTCTGCAGTTTCTCTGAGAGAAACGTTTCATCGGTGAATCAGAGGTGCATCACGTGCTTGCACTGTAGTGCATCAACCAATAACCGCGTCTGATTTTCAGCTCAGTTTACAGTGACACAGACTGAATGCCAGAGTGAACTCCGTCTGTCCTGGAACTATACTAGACTGTTTAACGATCGGTCTGTCTCAGTGGCTACCCACAGGTAAGTGTATGCGTGCATATGTGTGTGTGTCTGTCAGCACCAGGGTTCACGCTGGGCTCTGCCTCGGGCCAGACTGTCTGCCCTCTGCCAGGCGCTATTCATCAGGGCGAGGGCCTCCCCGCAACGCTTCTGCACGGACAGATCCAACACTTCTCTGTGGGGAAGATCAACCTGTGTACAGTGAGGACATACATGAGGGTTTAACGAGATGCACAGCCATTGGCAGGAATTGTTGGATATAAGATCTTGAATACTAATGTTTTTAGGACAGCAAATAATGCAATATTACTGACTTTTTTCTTTCTTCCTTGAACCACAATAATGACTAGTCTAACTATCTTCCTACCTGGAAAACAGCCTTCCATGTGTTGTCTAACGCCTCCAGCAGTCGATCTCTCTCTTCACAGCCGCTGAAGTACAACACCCACGGAGGAAGGAACTGGGTCCGATCTGACGCAAACTCCTACAGAGGGAGAAAGTTGGACGGCTTACATTAAAGTTCCTAAACACAAGAGAATTATAGCAGAACTATATACTGGGAAACTGGTGTGTGTGTGTGTGTCTCTATCTAACTATCGATCGATCGATCGATCGATAGATAGATCGATAGAGTACTGCCTGTTCAATGTTTACGCCTTTAGACTAAATTGAACTAATGCGAAAAGAACTCATTTCCTCTTGCTTCGTCTTGGTGCCAGTGGGATGTACCGTAGATAAAGCTAAAGATGCTACCTGAAGATGTAACTAATAGACAAAGTCCATTCAGTAATGTCATACTGTTCTCATGGTCTCAATCAAGATTGTTCATTAATAAAAATTATACCACACGATTTACTTGTTTCAACAAAAAATATTGCGGTAGAAGGTACTTCATGACAAAATGTAACTAGAGTTTAGCTAAACCCAAGATCCACCAGGTCTTGGGTTTACTTTGAGGAGACACCCGACTCTGTCAGCTGTTTATTATTCATACCAGTTAGAGCAGTTTGTTTGGTACACACAAACTGCAGCGTGATGTATGACGTGTGTCTTGTATGCTTATGAAGGCTGGACCCCTTGTTAGACCGGAAATATCATATTTACATTAGGATAGCATGGAGACGCTGGTACTTTCTTACGTTTTAAAAATCATTATTTCATGAATTCAGCTTCTTAATCTGCCAAACATCGGTGACAAATTAGATACATGTTTTATGTTATCAATGCATACCCTAAGCAAAAGCACAGTCCTGAGAGCGCAGAACTTCATAACAGCTTAATTTAATAGTTAATACATTCAAACTGTGTAGCATATACTTATGTATACATAAAGTAATTAGTTTAAGTCTCATATAAATCCATACATTGGACTAACACCAAGAGAAGTTAAACAAATGGCCACTCACAATGACACAGTACTCCTTGTCGGCCTCCAGGCTGACGGAAGTGACGTCACAGATATCGGCGCTGCCCAGCGAACGGAAGAAGCTGGTCTGACAGTCCTGATGGCAGGTGAGCAGCTTCCTGTCTGTCATCACCAGGCAACATGGGATACATGGAGTGGGAGCCACGCCTTGAGGGATGACCTGCAGGTATAGTGGCTATAATTTAATTATACCTTTATTATGAACCATTAAGAACATCAGCAACTGGAGTCCTAGTGAACTTTTTTTAGGGAGGAAAACAGCCTGTACATGCCCACATGGAAGGTTGGGCCGGTGTAAAAATGTTCATTACGGATTGATAATGAACAGACTGTGTGACACCTATTACTGTCTATCTATCTAGCGTCTATTAAAAGCTTGAGATACATGCGATATTAGAAATGAAAACACACGATGCATGCGTATGTATAACTCCTTACCCCTTTGGAGACGGACTGGCAGAGCAGCAGCATCCAGTCGGCCATGTCCTGCTCATTGTTGGCGCTGAGCTCCAGCGCCGGCCGCTCCGTCAGGATGACGTGGAAGGCGTGCGGACGCTCTGTGCTGTTTGAGCGACGGCAACCTCCACAGTGCTCTCCTCTGTTGGGCACAAGAGGCATGAAAATACATCAGCGAACACCATTTTCTCAGCGTGTCGTTTGCTGCTTTTGAACAATAAAGGCCTCCACATTTCAATCAGCTCTAGTCTAATAGGCCTTTTGATTTGTCCTTGTAGGGAAAAGCACAGGAGTAAACAATCGAATGGATGATGGTTGAATTCCATTTAGCCGTTTCAGTTTCATGGTCCTGGTATTGTGCACGCTGGCTCACTGTGTCTCTGTCAGGACTTACTGGGACGCTTGAATAGAGGAGAGGTGTCGTAATGCTATTAGTGACACTGTGCTATCCTGCAATGGCGGCTCAAAATGTCTGCTGTGAAACAGGACGACCTTTCAGCCAGTTGAAGCTTACCGCATAGTGACTGACAGCAGAGGTGCCACATCAGTTCTTTCTGAATACAGGTACAGAATCCCCTTTCTGCAAGAAACAGAGACAGCTGTTCATATATTCACCTAATAAAGCTTGATGTTATATTGCAAAAATATAAATTGTTTTCACATAATATTCAGTGTAGGGCTGCACAATATTGGGACACAATAATGGAATACATTATTGGGACATTGCGCTGTTTATTCTCAGATATATATTGTAATATTCACCCTCTAGGGGGCTCCGGGGGCAAGCTTGAAATGAAAATGTTTTACTTTTATAGTTAAATGCATCAATCTGGTGCACTTTAATAGCAACAATGAAGAGGATAATTCTATGAAGAACCTTGTGTTCTGGTAAACGATTTAATCATAAACACATTGGCTGATGACACATTTTTATGGGAAATGTGATCTACATTTTTTTTACACTCAACACACACACACTGGTTTTTCAGGATTACAGTATGTAGTTGTCATTCTTAAATGCAATAGATATTACAATGGGAATTGAGATGAGTATGAAACCCAGCTGATCTCAAGGAACGTATCGATACCAGCTGAACGGGATACTGGCGTGTGCGACCTGCACATACCTGAGAACGAGGTAGCAGCTTTTCCAGAGCTCTTTGCCCAGGTAGGTGCTTCCAGCCCGGTACTGCAGAGCCCCCTCCTTGGTGCTGGAAGGTAGTCCAGAGATTGGTGGGCCACCCTGGGGTGACAAAGTCATGTCCATAGGATCCTCCCAGTGGACCAGTGAGTACAGTTGGATAGACACGTCACATACCTGGAGAAAAAGGAATGTATTAGTTTACCACTGCGCCGAAAGTCAGCCAAAGAAAAGGAAAGTGGTAAAAAAATAATGTTATTATGGGGGACTCCCAAACTTTATAGAATTATGGAAAAAACCTTCCAGGCAGCCAGTTACTTCAATTCGTATATAATGTGAAGTTTGACTTCCAGAGACTTAGGTGAAGTATTTATCACAGTGAGCATTGTGTTTGATATTTTGTTGTCAATATCATGTCATTATTACATGGTGATGCAGTCCAAAATAAGTTGTATACAAACATGATTAAATGCATTTTTACCCGCCCAATGCATCTACAAATGAAAATGCTGTGCATTTGTGTGTTACAGTTTGACACACTAGCTATGATTTGTGATTACTTGCGTCACAGATTTTCCCCAAAAAGTTTCTGTTCTTTCACTTCAGTTTCTAGTGGTGATTAGTAACATGTTGGTATCATTCTCTCTGTAAAGACCAGACCTGTAAGGAAGAGCTGATACAGTATATGAGAAGTTTAACGCACATGTACCTCACAGTGAGACTCCTGGGAGACAAACTTCGTGAGAGACAGTCTTTCCATGGTAGCATCCGTCAGCACAGAGGGGTAAGGAGGCTCACGACAGCCCTTCACCATGGCTGACTGGAGAACAGACAAGAACCACCTGTACGTGAAGAAGGATGGATTGGATAAGTTCAACAATCATCAATCATCCATTTTGTGACGTGCCCTGTGTGGCTCACAATACATCACATATAGACACATGAGTAGTTGTGATTTTGTGCACGCTGGCTCGTTGCAAAGAGTTGCACATTGCTCGCAAAAACAGTTTATGGAGTCAGAGAACCAAGAAACACGAGGCAGAGATAAACAGGTACACTCACAGAGTCAGGGAGGCATCAGCTGTGTCCAACAGGAATGTTCTTCGTCTGTTGGTGCAAACCACCGCCACCGTCTGTTGGTCAAGGCCCACCTAAAGGAAAACAGCATTGCATCTGATATATCAGACACCAAACTAACGTTGTGCTCCACTACCACAGCTGTCACATCTTGCTGGAGTCTAATTAGTTCATAAATATCTTGTAATTAACTCAATATAGATCACATTTTTGGACCATGCAGTTTCCCATAAGTGCTGGCTGCCGGCCAAACAGCAGGTTTATTATATACCTCTTTTATTCTAATACAATAGTTTTAATTAACAAGTAGCAATTTGCTATGATTGTAACTTTGGCAACTACAAGCCTCCGCTTCTAAAATATGCGAGCATGATGATAAAGAAAACGTGCCAATCTGTCTGCATCAGTCCCGGCTCCCACATGCCCTATATGAATGCGTTTGGTGTCAACACACCGTAAGAAGACAACATGAAAGGGTTTGTGGAAACATGCGTGTGTAAAATAACAGCGGCCCAGGCCATGGACATACAGTATGTGAAGTAAATTCTGTTGTGGAGGACACTTACTGAAAGATAGTCCAGCTCATTATAGGAAACAGCAGCTTCCACAGTGTAGGGCTTCTCTGCTGCACCTGTGGAGGAAAACAAAAGTACAACCAAGACACGCAGTGAGCACATGTTAGTGTAAAGTATTTTCTGTCTCAAGAATAACCTTATTCAAATGTAATGTCAAAGAAATTCTCATAGCATTGCTAGTACAGATGGACACCATCGCTTTACGAAGTCATGGTCAAAATTGTACTCCCCAAACGTAAGGAAATTGCGATGCCCGTTTCCCCATGTGTGAAAAAAAGTGTTGTTTTTAAGCACTTACCCTTCCTAAGCAGGTAGATGTAACAGTCAGTCAGCAGCAGGTAAAGGGGCTGCAGGTCCCCCTCCATATGGCCTGTGCTCATTCTCGCCATCTGAAAACATAGAGATAAATTCTGTCAAATGTCTGCAGCCTCCACATTCATCTGTGTCAAACTGTTGTGTTCACGAGCGATGGCTTCTGGCAACTGGATAGCACACTGTAGTACAGCAGATAACAAACTTTATAGGTCAGTTATTTTGTAGACTGACTGTCCATCATCAGCTGTAAGTTCTCATCATTTATCACAAACATGTGCACTCTTTATTCACTTGATACTTGAAATTATTTAGGCTAATTAAGCTAATAATAACCCAGCTTTTTGTGTGTGAAAAAGTGTGGATTTTTAAACAAGCTTACACCAGACAGGTACATTGCTACAGCCTGAGTAAAAGCAGTTACAATGCAGTTGGCAAACTGAGCCTTGCAAAACTTCCACTGAGCAATAGTGTCCAAAACCACTTCTTCCCCTTACTGTCAGAGTTAAGAACCAAAACTGATTTAAAGACGTGTGATAGACGATCAATTTTCCAGACGATTGAAAACAGGCCTGGTAAAAGACCATGACATCACTGTGCTGCTTTATTTCTTTAAATGTTACTATTTGATTGATACATTCACATTTTATCCAAAAGATGTAACTTCTTTCAACATAAATAAAATATAACAACAATCCTCCGTCTTCACCTTGAAGAGCTGCTCCTCGTTCTCTCTGAATACATGAATCATGAGAAGAAGCAAGTGATTGTTGTCCACTCTGAAATATAAAATATGAAGAACATTAAACATACTTTGAACAACATTACAACAACAAACAATGCTTTTTTTAGAAACTCCTTACTTAAACTCTGCAGGATGAGAATTCTCTGCTTCCTCAGTAAACACTTCTGTGTCTTCCTCCCCGGTCTTCATCTCGGGCTCCTGTCCTGCTGACACTTTTGCATCTCCTTCATCTTTAAGGCCACCTGAAAGAGTTTGCGAGTGGCTATGCTCTGCAGAGTCATAGTGGCCACCACCTGAGAGAGTAGAGTCTGAACTGTTGGGGGTAAAGCAGCATAAGACTGTAGGCTCAGCAGGGGCCTGCAGGAAGAGAGACGTCTCTCCTGGGGCTGGGTCAGGTGGCTCACCCTCTGAATCCTCCCGAAAGGGCTGCTGCGTAGGGGGCTCGGGACCCCGGTCACGGTCGGCGCCGCTTTTCTCCTCTCCCTCCTCTCGTTGCTCCCAGGCCTCCTCCCTATCCAGAGCCCCGTTGAGCCGGTCCATGACGTCACGGAGCGGTTGGCCCACGGTGTCCATGGAGGTGTCAGTCATCTCTGGGAGCCGTAGGAGGCTTTCTACTCCGTCCTCGTCTCCTTCCTCCACAACCTCTGATCCCACCCGGCTTCTCCTCAGCTCAGCCTCTGCATCCGGCTGAATTACAGCGCCGTTCAATGAATCCACATCCTCTGAAGACCGGAGGCTGTTGCCCATTTCCACGTGCTCAGAGGAGACAGAGTTCTGGAGGCTGCTGATGGAATCTGTGGAGCCCCTCCCTCGTCGCTTCTTGGCTGTTTTCCTTCGTCTGGCCATCCTGGAAGACCAGAATGGTTAGCTGTGGTTCCTCCGTTCTAATACAATTACAACAACTGTGCAGATAGAATGTGAGCGGACGAGCCTGAAACTGAACCTGTTGCTACTGTACCTTATGACCTCCAGCTCGCCGCCGGTGGTCTCCGTGTCATCTACAGCGGTGACAGAATAGTAGCAGCTGGCCAAGTGAACCGGCGTGACGTCGGCTGAGGTGTTGGTGTCCGAGTCCTCGTTGAAGGGGTTGTGTCTGTACGTTGGGCTGTCCGCAGCGAGATGAGCTGCTGCCATCACCTTCACAGTGCCAGCGGAAAGGACCACCGTGTCGCTGATGACTGTCTGGGGATCAGAGCCACTGGATCGTGGGCAGCTGGCCTGGTCAGTCAGGTCACCCTCTGACATGAAAAGATACACCAAGAGTTAAAGTAGCAGTCACCCACATGTAGTTGTGAATATACAGAAGAATTACACTGAATTTTTGCTTCCACTGTCTCGCCGGTAAGTTGAGTGATTAACTTAGAAATCAAAAATTTTGACGATAGAAAGTAATTGTGAGCTGTTTCTATCCAAGCACATTCAAAATGTATCTTTTTTTGTTCATGTTTCATTACCAATACGAGACATTTTCACAAAAACTCTGCGTGTTTCTTCATCAGCATCGCACACAAACAAATGTTAGGGGCCGCAGTGTCCTTTGTAGTTCTTTGGCAGGGTCAGAGAGAGAGGCACAAAACACAATGCGCAAGACATCAAGTAGGTGCACGGACAGCAGCTTACTTCATGGCACTGGCCTAGGTCAAGCATTACCTCTGCAGTTAGAGATGGGTCATACTAAACAAATATTTAAATAATACAATTTGGAGGAATCAGCATTTTTGATTCATCGTGAGTGGACTGACCCACTGACAAGCTTACTGCAAGCCGACGCTGTAATAATTTCAAGGAAGTTGCATTCTATGTCCTTAAGCAACTCTTCTTGATTGTTACCTCCACACTACAGTTGAGCTGAACTGAGACCAGTGCCACATATCGCACAGGAAGACAACGATGCGCCAGACAAACAGATAACACAGTGTAATGGAGACAGACTGGACGAGGTGAGTACCGGGCAGTACACCAGGCGGTTATCTTGTTGCGGTAAACAAAAAGGCAGAGTGAGCATTCGGATCATTCCCAAGATGAGTAACGCAACGTGCAGAACATGACAGATAGCAGCTCCATGTACCCGCCCAACAATGAATTCCCAGAGAACCAAAGAGCTGCGCTTCCTCCCAAACTTACCTGTCAACCTATTCATTATGACGACACCTTGTGTTTTTGTTTGATAATTCAATGAGCATTAAGAGAAGCTTTACTAAAAATGAATGTGGGCTTTACTAGACATTAAAATACTACTGTCAAAAGAAGGCTTTCAGTTAGTTCATACCTCATGTTTCATGGAGGTTAACAGAAAGCTTTGTGCATATGAAGTACAGTAATGTAAGTCATATGCCTGCCATATCACTTAATTTATATTATTAGCTGAAAGTGTGCCACACAACTTTACATCCAAACACAAATCCCCTCCGACTGAATCCATTCCCAAAAATTAGAATCACTTTTACCCCAGCCCCTTTGATTGTGCTTCTTTCCATGTCCTCAGATCAGCAGTCTTTTGCACCAGCTAGCTGTACTTTACATATCAACATTACTGACTAGCCAACACAGCATGCATTACGCACAAACTGAGGGACGGCCATGCTAGATAGGAGGGAGGGAGGGTGAAACAGCTGGAAGGGTATGGGTTGACCAATGTCCCACCTTCCCAGTCTGCACTTGGCAATGACTGCAACACGGGGAAGATGTCACCGAAATCATAATCTAAAAAAAAAAAAAACAAGGAAGGATGACATTCAATATTAGAGAGAGATGGAGTGGAGACAGGAGAGAGGAGATCACAATGGAAGAGAAAAATAACATGACATATGGTCTATGAAATAACAGAATCGATGGGGACGAATAGACAAAGTGGGAACTAAAACTAAAAGAGGGAAACTGACTCAGTACTTTGTGCAGAGTGATGTGGAAAGCATTCAGTAAGCGTCGCAATGTGAGGAATTTAAGTTTAAAAGCATTGCTGGTATGTTTAATAGCACCCCTAGTGGTGGATATTGTATGTTTACAGTATATTTACTTATAGAAGTGTTAAACCATGAAAGCATAATCATTGAATGTATTAAACTTAAAAAGTATAGTCACGGTATGAATTGAACACTGTAAGAATAGTCACTGAATGTTTTGAACCATGAAGGAACGTGAGGGATTTTGAGTGAGGCCTTTCAGACACGCCCATATGAATGAGTGAAGGATGGCCAAGCGAGGATGGTGTAGTATGCTGTTTTAAAGAAGGAGGGGGGACCGGTTCAGAAGAGGAGTGACTGACCAGGCCAGCGGGTCAAAGGCCAGGAGGGGCTTATTGGATTTCAGCCAATCACTGAGCTGATACGGGACATCTCAGAGACACTAGGAAGACAACTGAAGGACTGTGAATTTCCAGACATCTTCAGATCCTCTGCGGGTGGATTGGGCCTCAATTTCATGAAATATTTTGTTATTAATAGTGTTATTCGGTTTGTAACTGTTTTTACATTTGTGGGATAATAAATCCATTTGATTTTGACTTGAACCAGCTGCTCTGTTTTGGAGGCGGTTGAGAAGCACGTGGCGAGGGGGACTCTCTCTTCGAACAGAAGCTCTACTGCCCTAACAGCAATCACCCCGATGATAACATTCTGTAGCCGCGAGCCTCTGGACGCCAAGTGATCCATTTGATGAAATGCACTTTGGTATTCGTGAGTCACAAGAGTCTGCCAAAGATCAATCTCACTTCTGCTTCAACATGCCGTCAGCGTGACATCACTCTCTGAATTCGTGCCTCAGCATATGAGTGTGTACTTGTGGCCTGATCCAAACATGAACCCAAAATAAATGCGGCCATTCTGCACTACAGTTACATCATGATTGGTCCTTTAGTGTCCAGATTAGAGACACAGCGGCACATAGAACTGACACTAGATTCATGATGAGGCTAATTCAAAGGATAGCAGTACTGCACAAATAAAAGGATTTAAGATTTGTTCATCTCTGACTGTAACAAATCTGTTATCTCTCCCCTCGTATTAGCAAAGAGCAGTGTACAAAACCTTGAGATAGCAGCTTCTCATTTTAGCCGGCGCTTCCGCCTCTAAACACTGAAGGACTGGGATTGGCATCGGAGCCAACGAGAGCTAATCGGGACCCACTACCCACTGCTTACCTTCACTGGAGGGGGCGATGGCGCTGTCATCCCACTCCAGGTTGGTGGAGGTGAGGGAGGTGAAGGAGTGCAAGGACAAGCTGTCTGAGCTGGGCAGCCTTTCCTCGAAGTCCAGCAGGTTCTGGGGTTTGTAGTATTCTGGCATGTAGGGGGCCACGTCCAGATAGGGCACATCCTGCACCAGCAGGACCCAAGAGAAACGTTACACGCATGCCGCTATCACTTAGGAGCTGCATTTCTATTGATATTGTCGTGAAACACATGCTAACCAGCTCCAGATCAAAGCGAATGAACTCCAGGCCGGACACCAGCGTGAGGAAGAGCGTGAGGTGGTCATGACTGCAGACCAGTGCGTTCCTAGCAGAGACGAAGATCAGTTAGCTTCATGTGAGTGACAGACATTCACTTTAACCACAAAAATAGTACATTTATTTGTTCTCTAACAGCCACAACAAGTAATTCCTGAAATGCAACTTCCACTTGTTACAGACCATCAGTTTGTAAATTCAGAATTACTTAACTAACTTTACTCGTAACTGGAACACTTACTTGAAATAATACTTCTGCAGTAATCCTTGGTTCTCCTGGAAGAGGCGTAGATAGCTCTCTAAAGAGCTCTCACTCAATGCCAGGTATAACCATGATCGGCCTACGCAGAACAGAGAAGAGTTATTTTCTATGAATGTAACCAATTGAATCATGATCGACGCTCCCCCCCCCCCCGCAAACTAAAATCCTGTGCGTGTGAGTGTGTTTGACGGAGTGAGGGGGATGTCTCACTTCGACCGAGGTTGGTTGCAATGTGCCGAAGCTCATCTATCTGCCGGACAGCCTCTTTCCTGGTGAAGTGAAGGACCAGGACCCAGTAGCCCGAGGAGATGTCCTGCAGGCTGTAATGCAGTAAATAGTATCGCATGCGTGAGGCGAGAAAGGGGCAACGTGAGCAGAGTGATGACACAAGAGCTACATTTTCACAGCAATGGAACCGTAACATACTCTGAAGTATCCACACCTAGATCAATTACTTGTAGCGTGCATCTAAAACATGTCATAATTGAGACAGTTAACATGGACATGAGGTGCAGAAAATACAGAAATAAGATTTATAACCAGATTTTTTTTACTGGCAGTAAGTCTCTTACCCATACAGCAGAGCATGGTCAAGGTGCTCACAGAGACGCTGAAGGACCCGGTCGTGATTTCGGATAGCTGGAGTCTCATCTTCGCAGGCCGCAAAGTAACTCTGCAACTACAGAGAGACATGGTTTCTCTGCTGTTAGTTTAGAGAGGGTCATTTCTAAAACTCACATTCCAGTGACAGAAATTGCAATTATTTCTCAAAAACTGATTGTATTTGAAAAAGTTATTACAAAGGACAGACCTTCAAAAGTTATACCTATTAAGCTATTTCATTTTTTAATGGATGGGTTGGCTTTATTATGACGGTATGGCTTAGGTGCATGGATCTGGAGAGGAATGTTTTATTTTGTGGATATACCCGTTGTTCAAAACTTTGGTTGCAATGTACTATGTGTGTGCCGGGGGTCACCACGCAGTGTACACCGTTATCCTGTACTTGGTTGGTATCAGTGACTGTTGAAGTTGGTGAAAGAGCTTTCAAAAACATGCAAACAAGCGAAACTGTTCCGTACTTTTTGGCTGTAATGAATGTCTAACCTGATGATCAAGTCATCTCATTATTTTTGGCTCTGTGCTCCCGCATACTAGATTTTAAATAGAACAGCAACAACAGTATGAGCAGATACTGGCCATTAAGGGTGCTAAATGGTGTTCACATCAATATGGGTTGAACGCTGAAGGAATTGTAGCTGATCCAAGGTTTAGGACGGTGCAGCAGGACTATGATCCTATAGTGGAACATGCAGTCAAAGTAATCAAGGAATTCAGTGCCAAGCAGTGGAATGTTTCTGAACTAAGTCCAACTAAGTATGTGTTTTTCTGTTGGGATTTTCTGCTATGATTTCACTGCTGAAGACCAGACAAGCAGTGAGTGAGCTGGCTGCAGGACAGGTCTGACAGAGCATCACCAGAGAAGATACCAAGGGCCTGCTGATGTCTGTGGATTGGAGCCTTAAACCAGTCATGGGACACGGCTGTGAAGGATATCCAACCAATTGTATTTGGTCCCCTTCAAATTGAGGCTACAATTCCTACTCATTCATCTGATGTGGATGTTATGCACAATGTTAGATGACGGCAGCTCTACTGAGAGGTACGTGGTTCATGCACACGATGAGTGTTTCATTGTCATCCAACATCCTGCAGCGCGCCACAAACCCTTAAGCATAACCAACTAAAGTGTAGGTCGGAGTAGCTTTGAGGATTGTGACCCAAAGAACAATAATTTGAATCCTTTGACATGACTAAGCAATGTTTGTTTGAGGTAAACACTGTACTCCTTCTTGGAAGCTTGAGGCGTTCCATTTCATAAGCACTATTTATGGTTCTTATGCAGTCTTTACAATAGACGAGATAAACGGGGTGATTAGAAAAAGGTGGATTAAGGAAGTAAGACGCAGTACTGGGCTTGATTCATTGCATTAAAGACTAATAATGTGAATGTACAAGCATGCAGAAAGTCCAGGAAGAAGATGCAACGATGTCTGACAAGTTGTGAGAAAGGTAGTCTCACAATCACATCAGGCACAATTGGACAACAAATCTAAAACATTCCATAAGTATAAAAGGGAAATTAGGAGCAAAAATCGACTGTGTTGCAAATATGTGTGTCCTGATGTAGTTGCAGGTGTGTTTACAACACATACCGCAGTGGGCAGACACAGGGGCTTGATGCCACTGTGGTACACCGTGGTCAAAAAGAGAAACTAAAACCATAACACCATAGAACATACAAGTGAATTCAGAAGTCGCAGAGAATAGTCTACATGTTATTTGTGTCAGTAAGGGAAAGGCCCTCTCTCGTAGCAGCCAGCTGGTAATGTCCCACCGACTTGAAAGTTGCCCTCTCTGGCAGACAAAAGATGACCTATCGTTAGCTACAGTCATTCACGTGAAAACACTTCAATTTAGTGACAACGTTCAAGTGTGCTAACCAAGCGGACGGCACTTACCTTCTTGACAGATAAGGAGAGGTTTTCCAATATGCGATCCTTTACTTTCAGTTGATCCATCACTGGTCTGCTGGCAGCTCACAGCAGCCTGTCAGCTGACTCTTGAGACAGAGCTCTTGTTTTGCTAAAGCTAACGCCAGTCTAAGCTAGCTAGCTCACATTATCTTGCCCTCCAAAGCAGTGGGCTGCCAAACTAACGACACAGCGCTGGCTGTCAGTTGTACACGTACAATACGGCAGCACCGCTAGTCCACAACCACTGTTAGTGCCCGAGCAAGTGGCGTGAACAGTCAACCGCTGTCAGCGGACCCGGCCGGTTAGCCAAGTAATGTTTAGCTTCGCGTTAGCTTTAGCCACTTGACTTTTTTTTAACGCTAGACCTCAAGGTGGGGGTGGCTAGCAAGTTCTGAATCCAACCCAGGATAACTTTTAGCATTTGTGGTTATCATGCTCTTAGTTTCATCAATGTGGTTAGCTGTTGTAAAATACTTTACATTACCTTGTCGCATATTTGCCTGTATAAGTTACTAACTACATCAAAGTCACGGATGCTAGGGGTAGTTTTTGTGCTACTACTGACTGAACGCCAACTGTTTGAGTGGGAAGTGGCCGTCAGTGGGTTACGTCACCACTAGCCCCAATACGGCTTATTATGGGAAGGCAGACTGAACCGCGTTCAAAAGCATGACTATTTAAAGTTTCATTTCCTCCACCTTGCGCAAACAGACAATACATCTTAAAATGACTGGATTTCAGATCAATAGAACCAACTCCTAAATTCGGCGTGCGTGCAACTCGATATTATAACTTATTCATCAATAAATCTGCGTTTTGAATTGCTTCATCCTTATTCAGACTGACTGCGTGCAAAGCAAATCACGTGCAAGAGGTTAAAGCACCGTTCATGGTTGTCCCTTTCATTGACACTGCAATGTTGATTCGAATTATGACAACTGACCGGTATTTTAACACAATTTGTATTTATCAAGTAGCTAATGTCGTAGGTATCGCCGTTTGCAAAGCTGCTCATTTAACTGACCGTATTTCTAAACTGAATTTGGAGTGGATACTCCGACAACATCCCTTCCGGTAAAGAACATCACTACAACCAACAAGACTGTCACTCACAGCGTCTTCCAGGCGACAGATTTCAAAGTACAATTGTGTCACAGAAATGACAGGAATTTCTTCTGAGTGGAATGTCAATATTTTATTGTTAAGATGACTCCAACTTTTTTGGAAACACTTATCAAAAACAAATTAGCAGTTGGTATATTCAGTGCATATAGTTACCACAGATTTTCTTGGTTGAGAACATGTGGATCAAATTGTATTATGGATATCTCTCAGGTTCCAAGGCATGTGCTCTACTTAAGAGATCATTTATCAAATGTAAAGCAACTTTATACAAACGTTGACTGACTGCAGGACATTTATAAGCCTTTCAATGATTTCAGAGTACAAAAAAAAGAAGCCAAAACAAACCCCAACCACCGCATTACGGTCACACCTTTTGGCCTCCAGTCCCAGATTAGTTGAGAAACCCAATAACCGAACAGAAACTGTATTTTTTTTTTTTACAGAGGACTGCAGTCCAAGTCCCTGCGTGAAGAGATTCAAGCCACCGAGACATTCAATTTCAACTCTTCACACCACAAGTTTAATTCTATCATCTTGTTATCCCTTCCCCGGCGGTCTCTCTGCATTAGTCTGACTTCTCCTTCTCTTTCATGTGCAGGAAGACTATGCTGAAGACAAAGAGTCCTGCCATCATGGAGAAGACGCTGGCATAGTACGGGAAGGCTGAGGGGATGAAGCGCTCGTACTGAGTGTGCTGCAGGGGACGCACCGATACCTGTGATGAAGAAACAAAACAGCAAAAGTTAGGCCACCGTACATTTGAGCCTGGTTGTTAAATGCATTAAGTAAGAAGAGCCTCTTCCAAGCCACAGTACTCAGAAAGTAAACTTATAAATAATAGCCCAAGGCTTTGAGAGATTGCCCTACTGGTAATCACTGGGTTACTTCGTTAGATATTGGGGACATTCTTTTTTTTTTTTTTTTTTTACATCCATTACAATAAATTAACAAAAAGGTAAATAACTGGATCTTTAGTATTTCCTGCCATTTGCATTCGCCAGTGTCCATGCATGACATCTGTACAGCAACCATACCAGTATTTGTTATTTGCGTACGCCCAAGTGAAGTAAACCTTCCAATTAACTTGCCTGAGTGGTGGAGTAGAGATGTGTGTATCCCAGTCGGTTGTAGTCCACCTTGAACTGGAAGACTCCGTACACATCCGGCAGCGTGAACTGGACACTATATTTATCTCCTAGAAGAAAGACAACACAGCATTAACAGTGAATACAGTTTGGGACCGCGAAGGTGCATACAGCTCGAACACACAAATCACAAGGGTGCAACACATTTAGACTGGAAGCATGAATTAATGTGAATGTTTTAGAACCACAGACGTACCCTTTTTCTTGAGATAAGTCCTGACGAAGGGATCGATCCTCACAAACTCAAGCTGGATGTCATCTCCGTCGAAGGGAACCCAGTGGCCCTCGGACAACATCTCAATGACAATGCTGTACTCCTGCGTGGGACGGTTTTACACTGATTAAGATGTGCACATAAAAAAAAGTACACAGCCCTTCATTCAGGGGGAGACAAAACATCTTCTGGATGATTGTTCACATGAGTCTCTGAAATTTTACTCACCACAAGGTCAGTGATCGTGTATGCTGCAGGGGGATTGATCTCTCCAACAGGGTGATGGGTAACCGCTCCCACCCTGAGGACTCCGGCCTCCTTGAACACCCAGCGGGACAGCGCCTCGGCCAGCTCCATGTTCCCCGTCTGCTCGTGCCTAACAAGAGACCACGGCAAGAAGAGGAGTTCTCATTAGAACTGATCAATATATTATTGTTTGTCAGGAGGAAGATAAGACGTACGTTTACACAGCACACATTTGGAGCAGGTTTTTGTTAGGGCTGGCTCTGTTTGGACATGAAAACATTTTTGAAATACTGCCAATTAGTATAAAAAAAATATCACCTGTCAGAAGCCAACATAAAAATATCTGAGTTGACATTTAAAGTTTTATAGTCTTACACATTACATGTTAACTACACAGGTCTTAACTGCAACACCTGAATATTCATTTAAAGACCATTTAAGAATACTTTCCTTCTACAAACTGGCTTGATGAGTTAGAAAACAGAAAAGTATGCACAACTAGAGACATTTCTCACCAGAGGAAAGTGTTTCACAATACACAGAGCTGCAGGATGAAAGGGAAAACGTGCCACCTGTTCTGTGGTTGTTCAATCAGTGTTCATAGTAAATGTTGCTTCAATTTACTACATTTACCATCAGTGCTGATTTGACATCCACATAAAAATGTGGTGAATTTACCCTTTTTTAAGGCAACCTTCAGGGAGTTTTAAGACACTGAACTGTAGGCAGCTCAAGACTCTGTTAGGACTTGCAAACGCCTGCATGAAACATGGTTGAGTAGTAAATGAACATCTGTTCACATTGCAAAAAGTGAGAATGTCGCTGATGGCGGTTTTTATTTCATAACTGGAAGCTGTAATTACATCCATGAGACGGAAAAAGAAGGAGCGATGTGATGAACAGTGAAGACTACCTCTTGGAGCCAGGCGTGGCCTTCTGCACACCAGAGTTGAAGAAAGCATCACTGAAGAACTCCAGGGAGCCGCTGAAAACCACTCTGGCATTGTTTCTGGCCTGAAGGCCGGCGATCATGAGGGTGTTCTTGCCAACAGCATGGGGGTACTGGAGAGGTAAAAAAGATATATTATTAATCTGAAAAAAAATAATGATGTCAAAGCTTGTGTAGTTAATTTCTAAGGAAACACAAAAGTAGTTCCACTCAGGTCTCCTGTAGCCAATTACCACCTGAATAAACTTTATGAATTAAAAACATCTGATACAATTGTTATCTTTGGTGATCTTACCTGAGAGACGGGTCTGTCAGGGAAAAATGAGTAAGAAGTAGACGAGCCAGTAAGGATGTCCAAGACAAGAGGGTTCTCTGGGTCTGCCACCATGCTGCAAAGGAAGAAGGGAGGAATGGCATGTTAGTCAGACTTTATAGAGCTTCCATTACTAAACAGATGCAATGTCAAATGCTGTCTCTTTCTCCAAAATCTCTGCTTCATCCAAATACAGTAAATATTCTGTGAAAAGTTCACCTAGGGAGGTGCTGCTCAAAGCAATTAAGTATTCATTCACTATATTTAATAAAGTAATAATTAAAAAACAGCGAGTGTTAACATACTGGATGTTCAGTAATACACCTTGATTACTCGGTTGCTAACATTTAAAATGTGTTGAGCTGTGCTTACCCAACACCCTTGAACAAAACAGGTCTGTTGGTGGGTTTGCCGACAATAGTTGGCGCTTTCATCAGGATCTCTGGATCAGCAACAATCAGCGTGTGCTGGAGACGGGAAGAATCACTCATAAGTATCAACATGGAGCGTCAGCTCTAAAGACTGGATTGGAGAGACAGACTGAATGTGCCTGCTGTCTGAACAGAATTCTGCTTACGTCTCCAGAGTCAGACACGTCGTAGTTGTGATGGTCGATGACGGCAGTCTTTTCCTCATCAAACTCGATGCCACACTCACTGCCCAGCTCCCTCAGAGGGTCACCTGTGTAACAGGAGAAGGGCATTAATATTTGCATTTTAGGAATTTTTATATAATATATTACAGAAAAGCTGTTGGAAATCAACTGACCAATATCTGAACTGGCAGCAACCAGAACGTTGCCTCCACCGTCAATAAAGGCTGTAATAGTCTCCACGTTTATATTTCCTCCAAAGTCTGAAAATGACCAAAACAGGGATACATTTTAACAATTGTTAATGTTTCAACAAGGCAAAAACATGTCTGCTATCTTCATTTTGAATTAAGTATGTGTGTGAAAGTTGTGAAATTTACCCTCAACTGATGGCGAGAAGATGATTAAATGGTCATACAGGAACTGGCCATATTTGATCAGAGATAGGGAGGGATCATCAGCCGTCTTAAATGAGATGTCAAAGCCACGATCTGAAAAGGAGAGAGACATCATCACACGTGTTGAACCTTTTTGCATTAACTTTAACAAAGTGGTGGAGCATTGCATTTCCAAAGGACTGGGAATTTCTATACTATAACTCCCTTGCAATATGCGCTGACATCATTGTTGAGAGAAAAAAAAAAAATGGCAAGTGAAACCACCAAAATCATGTATGTTTGACTTCCTATGTACAGTGTAGATTCCTTGTCTACCAATATTAAAAATTCTACTACCTGAATGAAACTTTATGTTACCTGCTCACAAATCTTCTCAAAGGGACAGGGTACCCCAAAATCAAAACTACATAACTTGTAAGCAATTTCAAGTAGGAACTATTTTCTTGCAACCATAGTTCATACATGGAACAAGGTCTGTGGATTATCTTGAGCCACCGGGTTATGATTTCTGGAAAGAGACATTGCTGTTGAGTGTTTTTTTTGGTGCTTTAAAACCAAAGTGCCCATATCAAAAATATCTATTTTGATTTTTTTTTAAAAATTGTATTTTTGATTTGTGGGAGAACTGTCCCTTTAAGAAAAATAGCTGAAGATAGATTGACAAGCCCATTTACAGTGTATTAGCCATAGAGTGTATATAAGAAGGCATCGGCATGCAGATCATTAGTTAATTCAGGATAACATTTTAGCATCCTGTTAACAACCTTATTTATATTCAAATGAAGGAATATACATGAATCTTCGATCAATTGCATCGGGCATAATTGAATATTTGGTTGCTGACTGAAAAAAAAAAGTTTTATATCATTGTCTCAAATTATTCATTATTTGGTGTACTTGAAGTATGCCCCGTTTCAATTAAATGCAGAGTAAGTTAACATGACCAAGCAAGTACTACACTACCATTGATTAGCTAAAAATACAGCGCCTTGAATTACGTTTTGCTTGACACAGCAAACACAATGCAGCTAAAACGTTAGCATGCTTGTGCTGCATAACGCTCGAGCACAAAAGGCTCTAACTTTATATTCCATGCCAGAAACCTGTTAGCAATACAAGGGGAGCTCTATAAGAGTATAAAGGAGAGTATTTAAGGATGTAAAAAGCGCGAATCTCGCATCTTACTGACCTGCCAGACTGCGGAAGAAGATTGAATGGGTGTCTCTGATGTTGACGTTGTCCAGAAGAACCAACGTTTTACCGTCAGCCAAAGCACACGGCAACATGGAAGCTAACGAAACGAATAGAATAATACTGGCGTCCAAAAGTCTGAACCTCCTTTGGGTCGTCATTCCGTTCCGTTTTTTGGACGATAATAAAGGACCGGGCTGGCTCGTCTGCACGACTGCTGTCAACGACGCCATTTTGCTGCAGAAGTCGACGTCAGCGTTAGGAGTCGACTTAACTTTGACCCCAATATCCAGCCAATCACCGAGAGGAACGCGTCCTTCTGGGTTCCGCCTCAGCCAATGGGATGAGAGCTTTATTATAAGACTGACCATCACGGAAGTAAAGTGTGGCGACATATAAAAGAACTTATTGTGCTGTATTCCTGGAAGGTGACTTATTTTCCTCAATGAATTTATACATTTTATTACTTAACATACCTTTCCATGATATTCTAGATATTCTGGGAGCAATGCAAACTTAAAGGAAACATAACAGCACATTGTTTTTACATAAAATAACAGCACAGCTCGAGGCTGGTCAGACTGTGCAGATTCTTTATTGATGAGATGATGACGACTTCCAGTGAGCCTAAGCAATGTTACTGATATCTACTGGGGCATCTTACAGGTGCTAATATAAGCAGACAAAATGATGACGTAAAACCATTGGTGATAGGGAACCGTCTTCATACTATTATGACCAGTTTACCGCAGAACCAAAAAAACAACTGTCTTGGTATCAATGTGAAACTGAGAATTGTTGACCAGGTTGTCATCTCCTTGTATATTTCTTTCGTTCTCTTGAAGCAGAGGTTAATTAAGACATTTTTTAGAGGACACATTACAAATATACAAATATTATGCATGAACAGCATTTACAGTGTTTGACAGTATACAAATCAATGACATCCCACTTCTGGAAAGAATCAATCTTCAGTACCCCGACATGTTAATGTAGATAATCTCTGTATAATGTGATTTTCAGGAAAATACTAAGTACAATAAAATATTTTGAAAATTTAAGGGAAATGTACATATATCTCTGAGTGAAATGGAAAAATAACACAGAGGTCTTTCTCTAAGTGAATCGTGATGTAAATACAAAGGACACTGCATAGTCCTGCATTTCATTCTAAAAATAAACAGACTATACAACGTAGTATAAACATCTCTGGAAGAATTATCAACAATATTTACCTAATCACTGGACCTCATCTCATTTCTGGAATTAGGACTGCAAAACACATGCTTTTTGAACATTCATTCAAAGATAAAATTGTGTATAAAGTGTTGTATGTTACAAATCCAGTTTAGATTTATTCAAACATCATGTTGAAACTCTGAGGCTTTATCAACTCAATTCATTTCCTTCTGCTGCCCCACTAAGCCTCACTCTCACATTCCATCTCCTCTTGTTTCTCCTCCTCTACCTCTGCTGCAGCTTCATCTTTTCCTTCTGTGTGGATCTCAGTGTGAGTTTCCACCGCTTCATCCTCCCTCCCCTCCTCATGAATTTCTCCTTGTGTCTCCCCCACTATCTCTCCCTCTGCCTCTCCCTCTCCCTCCTGGGCAGGGAAGATCAGGTCACCTTCCTGGATGACTTGTTCAGCTGTGGGTTGCCACGTTGTGGCAGAATCCCCCTCAGCGGTGGTGGCTGTGGTGTATTGGTAGAAGTCAGAATCTGCCTGAAACATGACCAAGGCCTGAGCTGTGTGGATGCGTACATGCTGGGCCAGGGAGCTGGCGTCCAAGAATTTATCACCACATGAATCACAAGCGTACAAGATCTGGGTGTTGGGGTCTGGGAACAGAAGAAGAGTTGACAAAGTTAGCGATGAAAGTTACCTCCTAGAGGGTCTGACAACCTCTGTGCTTTTCAGTGATCTGGCTTAGAATGAAAATTAAATATGGTCATGTTGCAGAGATGTCTTAGCCTACACGTCATATTCTATAAACTCAAGAAAACATCTTTGTTTGGTACCTATCCAAGACAAAAGCCACACCATTATCATTTTAATGTTGTTCAATGAAAATGAGAATAACGATGTAAAAATGATCATTACGTCTAATATCTTAAAACATATCGCAATTGCAATATCAGTCAAAAGTAAAATTAGATATTATTTTCAAAATCATTGTGCCCTTCTTCATAGTTCAGTTCAAGCATTTTAAGATATAATATAAGATAGATGTTATTTGGTCTGTGCGTTTTAAAAAGGTACAATTTATATTCTATGCAGAAGACCTAATATAGGAATTATTGTGTTTTAAATAGGAAATATAATTAACGTCCTTGAGCTGTTTCTGTTAAATGTGTTGATAGTTGATGCTGTACACCGTGATAACGCAACCCGTATACCAGTTCTGCCCAAATCCAGAGTTCAGATTGGAATAATGCTGCTGCACCAAGGCAGCAAACAGGATCAGCAATGATGGTTGTCTAATGTTGTTCAAATACAGCTGTTTGAGTACTGTACATACTGTCCAGTGATTTCCTTGTAGTCTTACCTGCTTCATGCACTTTCTCTACTGCCTTGGTTATTTCAGCTTTCAAAGCCTCCGTCTCATCTGCAGACTCTGAAGCAGCCACTGGAACTACTGTAAACAGACACATGACGCAAAGTAAACAAACACTCAACACTGTCTAAGACCTTTAATCCTCATGCTTCTTTTATTTTCTGCAGATGTCCATTGGACAGCAGCAGCAATTGTCACAGATCCAACCCCAGGATATGTAAGTATTTCCCCTAATATCATAAGACGCTGTCGGACCTGTCAGCTGAGCTACCGCACTGGCTGCCAGGGCCTCAGTTGCCAGGGTGACGATGTCCTCTGTGGTGACGGTGACTATGTTGATCTCGCTGTCGGAGGTGGACGCCCCTGCGCACCCGTCGGCCCCCTCGTCCGCGCTGCCCCCGGAAATCACCAGCCGCTTCATGCCGGCCTTGCCTTGGTGGACGGTCTTAACGTGGGAGCGCAGGTTGTCCACCCGGTTGAACCCTCTGCCGCATTTATCACACAGGAAAGGCTTCTCCCCTGAGAGAGCGGGACGGAGAAAAAATAGTCAACTGACGACGTCAGGGTGAAAGCTGCGAGCTCTGCTGGATGCCTCCCTATTTCCACCTTTAGCCATAAGTCCCATAATTCTTTGACACTAGTTTTGTCCTTACCCGTGTGAATGATGATGTGCTTCGACAGGTCTCCCACATTAACAAATGCCTTGTTGCACATCTGACACTTGTGCGGCCGGACATTGTCGTGATGCCGGATGTGATTGGCCAGTTGACTGGACTGCACGAACCTGTCCGGAGACAAACATAAAATGCACCTCTCATCAAACATTTTCTCACTTACTTCTAGCTGTAGATAACGATCTGCTCCTGCTCCTGCTCTGTAGCATGCCATTAAATAGCTGGTTGTTTTATCTTGTTTTTTGCTGATGTTCGCGCATCTGTTCTTATTTAACGTGTTTTATTGTGACATGGGTCGGGTGTTGATGCAGCAATTATCCCTATCTTAAATTCTCTCCCATGGTAGACAATAAAGTAACATTAAGATAACACTTAAAACCAAAAGTTAATGTTCTCTGCTCTCTCTCTTCACACAAATCTCCTTGTTAGATAAACTCAGGTTATATTCCCCAAGCACAAGTGACGAAAAAAAACCCAGCCTTTGTTACAGCACTGATTTATCTGCTTGCTGACCTTTTGCCACAGCGATCACACACGTAGGGTTTCTCTCCCGTGTGCTGGCGGACGTGAGCGATGAGTGAGCTGGCCTGCGTGAAGGCCTTGCCACAGATGAGACAGACGCAGGGCTTCTCTCCTGTAGAACATGAATTAGAGAGTCACTATGGTGGGATGTAAATAATATATGTGCAGGAGTTTCAGATTGAAAACGGACGCGTCGCTTTCACGTTCCATAGTCTCTCTGAATGTCATGGAAGTACCTGTGTGGATGCGCTCATGCCGCTGCAGAGCTCCAGGGTCGCTGAAAGCTCTATGGCAGTGCATGCAGATGTACGGTTTCTCCCCACTGTGGACTCGCAGGTGTCTCTTCAGATTTCCTAAAAAGCACATACCACCATCACACAAAGGTTCGACCAAATGCCTCAAAGCAAAAGTCAAAAATTCAAAGTCAACTTGCTCCAGATAACGTGCAGGCAGACTGAAAGCAGCTGGAATTGTGTTTGCTCCAAATAAATGGTTGAAAAAACACATCTGTCACTGTCTTGTTAACACCACTAGCAGCATCTTACTGACTTCAACTGAAATCACGTGACAACAGTGGGGGTGGGGGTCGCTTATTGTCATCATCAATGTACCCGTTAAAAAAAATTCCAAACCCAAAGAAATACAATTTACAATAATAAAGAAAGCTGCAAATCCTCACGTTTGAGAGAGTTTAGGTAGAATTTCAGTTTGATGACAAACAGACGTAAACATCATTCAAGAAAATATGGTCCGTACTATCTACTTACCTGAAGTAGTAAACTGTTTGCCACATTCCTTGCACTTGAGAGGCCCGTCTGTGATATGGATCTTTAAGTGAGCCTTCAGATTTCCCGGCTAGGAAAAACACAAAATCAAGTATCTAGTTGGTTAACACACTCAACATAATATTCACAGTAACACATCACTGAATTTGATGTACATGTGGCTACCGAACTTTTGATACCAAACCTTCACAGACATGTTATTACCTGGTTGAAGCGTTTGTCGCAGTGTGAACACCTGTTGCCTTTCTCCGTGTCGTGCGTCTCCAGGTGTCGCATCTTGGCGGTGGGGTCAGAGAAAGCCTTATCGCAGTAGTCGCAGTGGTACGGCTTCTCGCCGCTGTGCACCAGCTGGTGGCGCTTCAGGTTGCCAGACGTGGTGAAGAGCTTGCCGCACATTTCGCAGCTGTACCGCGCTTCGCCCGTGTGGCGTTTGCGGTGCAGGTTGAGCAGGCTGATCTGGCGGTAGCTCTTCCCGCAAGTCGAGCAGCAGTACGGCTTGAGAGGGCTAGGAGGCAGCAAGGAGCGCAATTTAAGACACAGGCCAGACAGGGCAGGTGTCGGCAAACTAAATGTAAAACAAAGCAATTCACCTGTGTGTTTTCTCGTGGGCTTTACAGGCCGCAGGGTCAGAGAAAGCTTTGTTGCAATCCCGACAGCTGAACGGCTTCTCTCCTGTGTGAATACGCATGTGTCTCTTGAAATTGCCAGTGTGGGTGAATTTCTTCCCGCAGTCCTGAGAGGAAGAAAATGTGTCATGAAGAGTGAGCAAAACCTATTCATGCAAAGATTTCTATGCAAATGTCACCAACATGTTTGCATAAAAGCCCCCAGCATCAGCAACGGTTCCATGTTTGATGCAGATATATTCGCTTTGATGCATTTTGATATGACAGCGATGAGTCATTCCACAGCTCGTGGCTCAAAGTTGATGACATTTACTTTTAATGCACAAGCTAAGAACAGCATTAAATCTGAAAAATATTTAACACTAAAGATAAGAAATTAAAAATTGTAAATGCACCCGGTCACTTCCCTCCTGCACCCAGACTGATATTCCTCACCTCACATTCGTGTGTCACGGAGCTGTAAGGCTTTGACTCGGATCGGCTGCTCATAGACGCTGACAAATTTTGTCCTCCTTCTCTCTCGCTGCCCGAATTGACCCCTTCCATCTCGTCATCTTCCTCTCCAGACCCCTCTTCATCGTCGGCTTCCCCGTCGCCGGTCTCCTCGCAGTCGTCCTCCGGTTCATCTGCAACTTCTGCCGGCTCCGCCACCCTCTTCTGGGGTTTGGTCTTTGATGTGCCTTCTTCCTCTGAGTCATTGTCTACGAGGGCGACGACAGAGAAGTCTTGAAAATGACATACTGTCTGTGTATGACATGAGTATTGACTGCAAATAACAGATAAATAGCCTCCTATACCTGGATTTGAATGTAAGACGAACACTCAGGAATTTAGAATAATTACACTAGATCTATTGAAAACTTTTCTAAATGTATCAATTTCCTTGACTTTTTCTATCTGGAATATGTTTCTGCACGATGATTCTCAACAAATTCCATAAGCAGTGGAAAGCTAAGAAGAAACGGGGGTTGTTTGGGTTGTTGCAGCGGAGCGAACTATCTCAGCCTGCTCACCAGGTGGGAAGTTTCGTCGAGGAGGTTTTCTGATCCGTCTCCCCCGAGAGCTCATGTAGGATGAGCTGCCAGCAGAGTTCAGCTGGGATTCTGTAGTCAAATAGAAAATATTTCTGTTTAAAAAGAGCAACTCTGTGATAATATACATTTGGAGCTGAAACGCCAAATGGGAGGATTCAAAGTCCTTCTATTACTACGCACTTACTGGGAGCGTAGTCAGCATCAGAGGGGTCGTCCTGAAATACAGGTGCGTCTTGTGCAGCGCTTTCCTCCTCCTTCTTTACGGATATCTTCTTTTGGGCAGAAACAGGGGTGGTTTTGGGGGCTCGTCCTCGGCCCGAGTGGGCTCTGGCCGGGTTGGGTGAAGGAACAGTCTGTTGTGTCTCGGTGGAGACGTCTTCTTTCACATTTTCCTGATTTTGTGCAGGCTTTTTGTCTTCCGTGGGCGTGCAGTGACTCTCCTCTGCTTGAGATGCCACTTCTGCCAGGTCACTCTCCAGGTCCTCCCTCTGCTCTACTTCACCTTGTTTCTCTTCTGGTTTGTTCATAAAGAAAAAAGGAATCATCAGGCTCCATATTTTACACTTGGTGAATTTGAATTTGATAAGGCTAATATCGTAGCATTAACAACAAAAAGTAACCAGATTAGACTGATCAATCACCAGATGTGAATCTTAATAAAAAGGTTAATATCAGCTCATTATAATAACAGTTAACTTAGACCAATGCCTGAACAACAGTTTAGAATTTAAAGCTCCGACTTTGTAATTCTAATAAATGCAGCAAAAGTATGTTATTTTTAATGACTGCTTCTAACTATGGAGATGGTGGAATTACCTCGTTAATAACATAATCACAGGAAGCCTCAAGTCATGGAAAGATTGTTAAATTCATTCAACACAGAAAACGTATCTTACCCCTTTCTACACCAGCAACAAATGATTGACCTGGTTCAGCACCTGTGAAATTGAGGGCACGGATCATTTAAAAGGTTCAGACATGAAAGTTTGATGCATTAATCTGGACTCACCAACGGCAAAATCCAGTGTTATGAGGGACGGAGCAGGATTTGCAACTGACTGGTACGCAGAACAGGCATTTACAATTTCTTGCATCTGTAGAAAGTTTGCAACAGCCAGCACGTCTTCTACATTCTGTGGACTTAAAGTCAGCTTGGCTGTGTACATAAACTCCAGGACCTGACCCAAACCTGCAACGATAAACAATACAGGTCTGGTTATACAGCAGTAATGCTGGGGTACATTAACTATTATTAAAGTAAAGCACTGCGACGGTATGCAAACTCAGAGCACTGAAAGATGGATATAACAAGGACATATAGTGTACATGTGAAAGTATCCAGAGATACGTGTCCAAAGGCTGATGGGAACACACCTGCTGCATTGCTGATGTCCAGGTGCACCACATCTTTCTGGTCCAGGAACAGGGTGCGGAAGTAGACACTGCAGGCCGCCAGCACGGCTTTGTGGGCCTTGAAGTCCACCCCGTCCACAACAAAGGTGCAGTCACACAGCATGCCCTGTCTGCGCTGGCGGTTCAGCTGCTCCAGAACTTTCCCACTGTGCCATGGGAACTCCATCGTCCCGAAGCCTCGAGGAGGGTGGACGAGGCTGGCTGCTCTGTGGAAACAGATAGTCGGCTTGACTACGTTGTCTTTACACCGGCATGACATCCAATCATTGTCGTTCAACTCTGATAGCTCTGTTTCTTCCAACTTTTTCCCCTGTTAAAAGGTTTTTTGGGGGGAGTTTTTCCTTATTGCAATCAAGGGTGAAAGAACAGTAGCCCTATTTCTAACTATCCTCATTTCACTATTGTATCTGACCACATTAAAAACAAGTTTTAAGAACTAGGACTATGTATCTTGCAACTCGCTTCTATTTCCATGTACAACAGCATCAGTGTTAGGTCGATTAGATACACTATCAGTTTGAAAAATAATCACATTTGTATTGAGGTTTGTCTTTTTATTTATTTTTGTAAAAAAAAGTGTGTCTTCTGTGTGCTGTACTGTTGGTGAATGACGGTCTCATAATGGGTGTAAATGTCAGGCTCCTTTACAGGACAGCACCAATAAATATTAGAGAGAGATACAATTTCAACCCCAAACGTTTAAACAACGAAAACACATTAAATTCAAAATACGTTAACGTCCGTTAAATAACATTGTCGAATGTACAAAATGGGTCACTGCCATGAAATAAAATGCAAGTGAGCTAACAAAAATGATGAATAATAATGAACTGTCATGATGGCCAGGCTATTGGACACATACTATCGGAATTCAAGAGTGCAGTCAACATGTTTCGGAACTTTAAATTCGGTTTCTTTAAAAGTTTTGACAGCTTGGTTTGACGGTGCAATACATCGATTACAATTCCTCCATCCTTGTAGCTTTGTTATCGGGGATTAATTTAGCGTGCCTTAACATGCATGTAGTGAAGGGACAAGATGGCGGACCGACGAGCAGGGCCTGTCCTCATCCCTTGTTGTTTTCTCAGCTAGCTCGCTAACTTCGCTTTATTCAAGCGCCATTTTAATAAAGAACACCTCCGGAATTACCTCCTTATTGTCGCTTCTTCACTCTGGGTTCAAACTGCTGCTCGGGCGGTGATATTGAGTGTTTTGCTCAGTTAGGAAAACAGACCCAATCGAGTTTTTCGGTGATCGATCCTGCCCCGTTCAGTCCATCCACCGCCATCTTCCTCTCTCTGATCGATTGATAGGGACCGGCCGGATGTATCACAGGAGCACGCGCAGTGTGAATACATGCGCTGCCTATGACGACCATGTGGTGGCGCAATATGCTCGCGCTATTTGATCCACACCATTGATGATAAAAAAAGTTGTTCTTCTACGTCACGTAACGAGGTTACACACAAAACAACCACCAGCAGCAACACATTAGATGTCATTAAACTGATTTCGAGCCATTGATGTAGCCTGCTGAATGGTAAAAGCATAAAAACAAATTGGCTTTTAATCTTAAATGTTGTAAATTAAAAATCATAGTGTGGGCTATACTATACAAACGTGCAGGGTGTGCAAGGTCTTTTAAGAATAATAACGTGTAATCACTTCCAAAGCACTCTCCAAGGGAACATAAAAAGCATTAATTTCATTGCTACTTAGTTACAGTACAACATATGCTAAAGGATGGTGTGATGTGATCATTCACAGGGAGCAGCGTGCCAAAATGTAAAGGCTGAAGACTGACTGAAACATGTAGTCAATTACAGGCACATAACAAAGGCGTCAAAATGATTTTTGCTTATTTATTGGTTCATTTGATAAGTGACAGGCACATTAATAAAAACATTTCTGTAAATGTGCCAGAGTTAGCCAAAAGGCAATTTTTCATCTGTAGTCCCTTGAATAGAGCCTTTGAAATTCCTTGTATGTTCAACATACATGGCAATAAACTGTTCTGATTGAAATCCTTTTCTCACGAAAGCAGGACAGATGCATCATAACTGCCTCCTCGCACAAAAGAATAGAATAAAAGCACCATCTTTCCTCTAAGCTTGTCTCATTCATTTTGAGAGTAGTTTACCTAACTGCTTACCGCAGCTTTAGGCCTAAATTTACTTTATGTCGATATGTGGTGAAGAAATAAATGGTGTTGGGTCAATCATGCTTCAAAAATAGGTTATTATTTCATTGGTATGTTGCATAAAAACAGGCATAGTTAAATTCTGGTTCTGTTCTAAAAAATACATCTTGGACAGCGTCTGAGGACCCCTACAAAAATAGTTTGAATTACTTTGATTGTTTGTCTTTTCATATTTTATATTTTTAATTAACCGTTCACTTTCTTCAAATTAAGTGCTAAATGGTGTTTCAAAGCAATAGAAATCAAGTGGAGAACTGTTGAAGCCCTTATCATTGTGTTTGCCTAAAAGACGACTAATTTGTAGAGCTTTTAAAATACGAAAGATGTGCAGGTTTTCTAATAATATAAACTCTCCATTGGTTGCTAAAACCAAACTCAAGGCCCACACCTTTAAAAAAAAAACGATTTGTCATTGCATGTCAATCAAGAGACTTACACATTGATGTTTATTGTCAAAGCAGGATCATTTAATTCACACAAATAATAATATACAATAAGTTATTATTTACGTGGCAACCATCAATTCAGCCTATTTTAGAACTGTGTTAGAGGACAGGAGTAAAGTGGTGAACCGATCAGTTAATTAGTGTGTGTGTGGGTGTGTGTGTGTGTGTGTGTGTGTGTGTGTGTGTGTGTGTGTGTGGGTGTGAGAGAGAATGCTGTACATGTCCAACCCCCGTGTCTCAATATGTTACATGCAGGTGGGACCTCTCGCTGCTGTGTATGGTGAACTAACTCAGAATACAGATGAGCAGCATCAGGCAGTGTTTCAGTCACGGAGGGAGAACATGACGTGTTTCACAGAGCACAGTGACAACTTTGTTGAGTGTTTAAAAGTAGAATGGTTTAAGTGAAGACAGGAAATTTAGGAAGTAGCATAAAAACACAAAACAAGAGGCGTGTGATGCGCAAGCTGGGTCCCCCTCTAGATCTTTATCTCGGTGCGGAAGGTCTGTACGAGCTCGTGTTTGGCCGGGTGTCGCCGTGCCGTGACTGTTAGGGTCCCCTCGGCGCCCAGTGAAGATGTCACTGAGGTGGGGTCCACATCGTCGGGTAGCTGGCACTTGTGTGTGAAATTGTTCATGACCGAACCATCCTGAGCCAACTGCCAAAGACAGAACATGACCTGTAACTTAATGTATTTGTGACAGAGGATACATGCTGCGAAAAGAGATTTGTCTACTCCACAGAATCCAGTTTAATAAGACTTTAGTCTCAAGGTCCAGTCACGGGAACACTGATATTGTTTTAAAGAATCATGTTACCACTTCAAATGAAAAACGAGGCTGCCCACCTTTTCTGCACGAACTTCAATCTGGTTGTTGGATGTGGTGACGATGACATCTTCAGGGGAGAAGTCTTGCACGTCAACTGTGAACTGGTACGAATCCCCAAGAGTCTTGATATTTCCGGATCCACCTAACGCACAACAAGATGAGAAAGGATGTTAGACCACAGGAGGAAACAGAAATATATTTCTCTCTTTGCCACATCATTTTTACTCAATTCTTATTTATGCTACATGCTAAAGAGGGTACACTTTTATCTTTCTGGTCTGATAATTGTGGGCTGGGGATAAAACCTGCAAGTGGTGTTTTATTAGTGATCGTTTACAGACATGTTACGGGCTCTCATTGATTTACAAGACCATATCATGTAAATGAAAATGTTTCAGTTATTGTCATTACATGTCAACAGCGTAGAATCCATGCTATAATCAAACATTATTCAGGCTCATTAGTTTCTGTTTTAATGGCCCTTTAATGGCCCTACGAAACAATATTACAGGCTGAATTCCATTTAGCTGCTCAGTTTCAGGGTCTTGACCTTTGCTGTGTTAGTTTTCACATCACTGATAACGTGAAATGTTGCTCTAGTATTCATATTCTCAGTGTATCTACTGTATTTGACATTTGAGAACTTGGCTAAATGGCTATCCGAATTATGAATTTTCTCATTTGTGGAACAAAATAAAAAATGTAATTACTAGGCAGTAACAGGATACAGTAGAGACACATATGATATCATGCAGTGCTCTGACCTCTCACTTCACATATGCAGGTTAGTTTGACTGCATGACATCATTCCAAATGTGTGTGTGTGTGTGTGTGTGTGTGTGTGTGTGTGTATCTGGTGTGTACACTGGTCACCAGGCAACCATCCGGTCATTCCTCATGCAGGCGCCATTCCAGATACTCAGTGTGTGAAGTCACACCACTGGCAGCCAGTCCAGCATTCTCAAGGCGTGCATGTGTGTGTGTGTGTGTGTGTGTATGTGTTGTTTTCCCTTTAGCTGCACCCGCCAACAATGATTCCCAAACAATTCTGCTCTGCCCCTGACACCTGGGCCACCTGATCTCCGAGTCCATTTAAAGTTCAGATGTCACACGTTCACACGTCTGTGTGCGCCAGCGGTGAACTGACACAGAGCAGTTCACACCAGCTGCACACATTGGCTGAGCTCGAGGATGAACCACGCAGGCACATGCAGAGTGAAATGTCTCCTCACCTAAATGTGTGTTAAACACACAAACGCCCAAAAAACCTGGAAGAGAATGCCGAGCAGCGCCTCCGTGTCGGCAAAAAACACAGCTCCAACTTAAGAGTGAAGTCCATTGTGTAGCCAGGCTACACTCTTAGAAACACATTTTGTTTGCACACATCAACCACACCAGAGACCCTTTGCTTTGTTTTTTTAAAACTCAGTCCTGCCTGTTGTCCCCCTCTCAACTGTCACCTCAGATATGATTTCTCACCACTTTACGGAGAAAAATCACAACACTTTAAACAAATTCCTTCCAAGCATGCACATGAATCTCAGTCAAAGCTGTCCGGCTGTTGCTATTATAATTATTAATACCCCTTTTGTACACAATACGAGTTACAGAGACCTGACATTGCTTATGACTTACTGGAAAAGCCCAAGGCGTCGCTCCCGGGCCGCATGAAGGAACCAAAGTCCTCAGCGAACAGTCCCCGGCTCTTCTCCATGTATGGGTTACCAGAGGATGAGGACGAGGTCTGGTGGAAACTCCGCTCCGATCGATAGGCAGAGGAGTTGGTCCCACTCATGGATGGCTGAGAGTGCTGGGTGAGACAGAGAGTGAAGGGAGGGAAGAGGGAGGCGGAGTGAGCTGATTCTTCTCGTGGTTCCTCTGGGAGTCTTCCAGAGGCTTTAAATGTAAGGAAACAATACACACAGCTCTTTCTTCGTTCTTTCTCTTTACATTTGTATAAATGTCTTGTTTGTATTTGGTAAAATCGTGTATTTGCCCACTCTCCAGCAGCCACCCACCCTCGGCCCTTATATACTGTACGGTCCTATGCCCGCCTGGGCGGTGTGCACGTGCGTCACAGCTCATTGGGAAAGGGTAACAGTGTTCTATATTTATCATGAGAGCGATGAAGAGAGGGGCCTGTTGTTGGAAAAAGTTGGCATTGAAGGCTTTGAGGTTTAAGGGCAGGCGAGATAGCGAGATTTGATGGAGAGAGGTAGAGGAAGAGCAGGGGCTAAGGGGGGCAACAGTTGTCATTTCAGACACACCGCCACTGAAATAGCTTTCCTCTCCTCTCTTTAATCCCCCGGCACTCCACTGCACTGTTTGCACAAACTTTATTTTATTGTTACTTTAGTGACGTTTTTGTACATTTTTATCTTTAGTAACGTTTTTTTATTCCTTTTGTGTATTTCTATCTTGTATATTGTTTATCGTTGTTGTTGTTCGCTGCTGCTGGCTGGCTGAGGGCTACCAAACTAAATTTCGTTGTACAATGACAATAAAAACCTCTTTATCTTTATCGTTATCGATTCATCAGTCGGTTCTCCTATAGTGCCATGACTTTGTCCTGAAAATTGGATCCTCACACAGTTTTGCCATTAAATGACATTTCATCTAATAGTTACATCTCATTAGAGAGCTTTTTCTCATCCGTTTATTGATTTAATCTCTCATATGACAAACCTCTGAGCACCCAACAAGTGACTCACTGGGTGGAAAGTGGCACGTGAATTGAAAAGGGAAATATAGGAACCATGTCTTCTCCGAGGATAAGTCGAGAGCAAAACAAAGATGGAAAGAATGTGTGAAAACAAAGCCGTCAGCGGGAGCAGGGGACTTAGTGGTGACATTGCTTTGTGGCTATTAATATCTGCACAGAGAGCACAGGCCATCGTGATTAGAAAACACTCACTGCTCTGCTCTCCCCCTCTCGACAGTGACAGCTAATCCATTAAAATCCATTTATGGGCTCATCGACATTACACCATTTGACTTCTGCTTTGTCTTTTCAGTCCAGAGGGGGTTGCCTTTAATTTACAGATGGTCTGTATATGACAACAATCATTTATCGACTGATGCCACGCAGCTGCAGTGCCGAACATCAAATGTCTGCTGTCAAAGCTGAAGTAAAACACACAAAGGTGACCGTCCATCATTTTGAAGCCATGTTTGAAAGGTTACCCAGCATTACTAATGACGCCACACAGTGATATGTGCTTCCAGTATCATCAGTATAGAGCTCAGAGTCCTCTGCTGAAGGTCTAAATCCAGACCAGCAACTCACAGTTTCCCTGCCAGGGAGCACACAAAGCCTCCTCCCCTCCATAGTAACAGCAGGAATACTGTTAGTTCATGCTAGCCTTTTATTCAAAGTTAGACTGTGTTTTGTACCTCTGATGGAGCTGTCATCAAGACCAAAGCTGCGGAATATGTTATTAATGCTAATGATGTCGGTCATATTATTTTCTCAATCATGTTTTTATAATAAGAAAAGTCAAACTGATCTCAGCTGTGTCTCAGCAAGGAAACAAAAGTCATTTACCCAAATCAGTGGTTCCCAGCCGTGTCGCCAGATAAGTTTGAGGGGGTCATGAGATGCTTAATAAGATAGAAAATATGAATAGTATAAAAACATTTCTGATGCACAAATTATGGTTTGCTTTTTTGGGCACTTTTCAAACTTTAAGCACTGGATATTCCACTTTTTTTAGAATTTATAGTAAAACTGGTCGCATCATGAAACCCTCAACCAGGGCTCTATCAATCAAGAGCCGTCTGACCAGGCTGCTATTCGAAAGACATGATGGGGTCAACAAAGAAAGATCCAAAATGCTACTCTGTGTTTGTTGTTTATTCTGAAGTGAAGGAGTTTAAAAGTTAAAGATTGGAATAAGAGGCAATGCGGGCCACCTACGAACCCTAGTCGGTACAGATAAATGCATTTAAATGAAGCGATGATGCTGATGGGTCATATCCTCACACAAGGGTTTTCAATAAGATAGAGAATCATGAATATATAAATTAGATAAAATATTGCCAATCATAACTTCAGAGATCCAGCCAGGAGCACAGGAATTATGAAAATGACAAACAAGAATAACCGGAGAAAGGGAGGAAGAAATTTAGGAGAGTCAATCTGATCTATCGCTGCCAGTAATCAACATTGTCTCACAAGTGATTTTGAGTCAGCACTATATGTGTGGGCTTGTGTTTGCATTCCTATCGGGCCACATAAAGCACGCACGCACACACACACACACACACACGTTTGGGTTGTGTCTGCCTCAGCTGCTGCATGTTACGTAATATTGCAGGCAGAGGGACAAGTCCCACAGTTATGGACACGCAGTGGCTGAACTGGAAGGTCATCTCACTGCAGCTGATTTATTTTATTAAGTAAGATGGTCAGCTTTGTGAGCAAATTATAAAGATATTCATGAATAACAAGCTGCTAAGACTGGGGGCTCCATTCACTGGCATGACCTTCATGTAGAAATGATCTTTCTTAAAAAGGTGTACTTCACTTGAAAAGCCTATTTATTGGCCTGAGTAAAATACCAAAGTCCAATTTGATTTAAAAATATATATATTCAATACACATATTTACATTTCAATAATTTAAGTTTTCCTTTGAAGCTGCGTCACTTGTGGACAGCGTTTCATATTATAGTCATTTGATCTATTGTTGACATGGACATTTATGAATATAATTTATTTGTATTAAATAGTCGGCTAAAAAACTTTCACTTTTCAACGTGATTTAACCGTGATTTCAACGTCAAAATGCTGTCAGATCAATATGTAGCAACTAAATACTTAATGTTAGTAACATCAACAGTTTCCACTTACAGGACAAAAGACCAAGTGACACAGGCAACAGTTCATTTGTATTTATTAATCACAATATGAATATAAACAATGTTCTTTATATAAAACCATAATCTCCTTCTCCTTCTTTAAATGTCGTTTTCAAAGCCACACAGGAGCCGGTTTCAGGAGATCTGCCATATTTTCAAGCTGGACATCTGTAAATAAAACAAGTATTTAAAATGTGTACAGCCCCACTCGCTGTCCGTACTACGGACAGTAAGAAAAATACGGAAAATACACGTGTATTTTACATGTGAAATGTCCTAAATACTCTATTTTATAACGGTGGGCTACAGGGACAGTCCACAAAGAAAGTGTCTCCAATATTAACTAACACACATGTCTGTTTACTTTCATAACATGCTAACACTACAAGCTAACATGCTAACGCTACAATTGCTAGCAGCCTCGCCACCATGGTAAGCATAACATGATATTAATGGTATGGTAATGATATTTCGGTTTGCAATATTGGAATACAGTAGTTCAAGTACTTACAGAGTATATCGTTAGCGTGAAGCCTCGTTTATTCCGTCAGCTCGTTCATTTCGCTCATCAACTCAGTAAGCTAGCTAGCTAGCTAGCTCAAACAGTGCCGTGTTTCCAGCCATCGCCTCTACCTTAGAAAATGACTCTGTGCGCATGCGTATTCCAGCAGTAAACGCAGAGGTTGTATTTTACGTCAACATACAGACATAATGTGCTCTGCTCTCATGACGATGTCCTGGGAACTGCTGCCTGTGTCACTTGGTCTTTTGTCCTGTAAGTGGAAACTGTTGATGTTACTAACATTAAGTATTTAGTTGCTACATATTGATCTGACAGCATTTTGACGGTTAAAACACGGTGACGTTGAAATCACGGTTAAATCACGTTGAAAAGTGAAAGTTGTTTAGCCGACTATTTAATACAAATAAATTATATTCATAAATGTCCATGTCAACAATAGATCAAATGACTATAATATGAAACGCTGTCCACAAGTGACGCAGCTTCAAAGGAAAACTTAAATTATTGAAATGTAAATATGTGTATTGAATATATATATTTTTAAATCAAATTGGACTTTGGTATTTTACTCAGGCCAATAAATAGGCTTTTCAAGTGAAGTACACCTTTTTAAGAAAGATCATTTCTACATGAAGGTCATGCCAGTGAATGGAGCCCCCAGTCTTAGCAGCTTGTTATTCATGAATATCTTTATAATTTGCTCACAAAGCTGACCATCTTACTTAATAAAATAAATCAGCTGCAGTGAGATGACCTTCCAGTTCAGCCACTGCGTGTCCATAACTGTGGGACTTGTCCCTCTGCCTGCAATATTACGCCGACTATTTTTGATTCAACGTTCAGGCTTAGACCAGATTTAAACGTGATTTGCAATACTATAATTTTTCGTCCTCTACATTGTGCTAATAATAATATATCATGATATAGAGGCTTACTGAGAAACCACATCCACATTTATCAGTTGAAAGCCAGTATTGGACATCACGTTGATATCTGGTCTAAACGTGAACGTTGAATCAACGTCTTTAAATAGTTGCAGCTTCAAGACACACGCAATGCACATGTTTCCTGATTTAATAATGACAAAAAACAATTCTATATCAAAACAGATAATCATTTCCTACTTCTGCAATTGCTGTTGCTTGTGTATATATATATATATATATATATATATTCAATGAAGTTTTGGTCTGAGAACAAAATAACTAAATCTCAGCTAATCACTAATAAAGTTTTGTATTTCATGTTTTTATTTTGTATTTCTGTTGTGTAAAGAAAGAGAATGTTTAACTTGTGATTTCTGCTTTGTATTCATTTGTAAACAGAGTCAGTTTTGGGATTCGGAGTCTTTGTTACATAATTTGATTTGCCTTTTCTTACAATGCCTGCAGGGAAACTACTCAGGTAGTCAACAATGATTGTTTATGAGAGTTAAGTAAAAAAAAACCTACTGTCTGGCTCTTTGGTCGCCTAGGTGTGCTGTTCCCATGGAAACAAGTTTTTGTATTAACAAAAGCAGTCTTTACATTTGTATAGTGTATAAGCGTGAGAGTGTGACTGACGCTCACAGCATGCAAATCTCTGTAATAACACAAGTACTTATTGAAAGCCGAACGGGGAGGAAAATGAACATTAACTAGAGGCTCATTTAAAGTCTGTGTGTGTGTGTGTGTGTGTGTGTGTGTGTGTGTGTGTGTGTGTGTGTGTGTGTGTGTGTGTGTGTGTGTGTAAGTGTATGTGTGTGTGTGTGTGTTCCCGAGATCTGAACAATGATAGCCTTGACCTTGAGCAATCCGCTGGAATTAATGAAACCTTGACTTCCTACAAAGCGACGGATATTTACAGGCTTGCTGATTATCGTTTCATGTCGAATGTCTTTTTCTGGTCCTTCAGGGATTTTCAAACGAGTCGTTGAAGCCAATCACTGACACAAGAAAAGCCAAAGCAATGACATCTGTAGATATAAATCTTCAACCGACTCGGTTTCTCATCTATTTCAATTATTTCCTGCCCTTTATTCAATATCTTCCTGCAAAAAAACCTGTACTCTCCACTGATAGAAAATTATTGTAAGAACGGTATATATTCAATTTCGGCGGTATGGTTGATTAAAAAGCTGAACAGCGTGAAAATGTCTCTCTCACTGCTCCTCTACACTCAAGACAGATGAAGGGCACTTGTTCCACCAACGAGTTAATATTAGCTACCCTTTCAACCATGACTGCTCCATCACGTCTATGCCCGATACCTTGACAGAGGTCAGAGTACCAACACTTTCCAGTGCAACTAGAAGGCAAGTCTAGCTGTCTTCTAGTTTTGTTTTGCAGTAGCAGCAATAAGTGCAGCCGTGCATTCATATTTTCTTTCTTCCATCATTGAGCCTCAGTGTTTGATTGAGACTGTAATCACAGAATGACGCCAACAATTCAAGACAAAATGAGGAGCCCGGAGGAGGCTGCTGGGAGTGAAACCGTCGGAGAGAACGAAGACTGGGAGCAAGGAAATCAATCAGACACATCCTGTAATAGGATTGTGCTCCTTGCTGATCCATGGAAGCCATGCCGACGGTCCCGTGCAACTGTCAAAGGTCAGACTGAAGTGGAAAAGTCATTAGAATGTGATCGATACCGACCCGATCAATACATCAGAGGAGCTGTTCATGATGCCAATCTGAGAGACGAATCTGAGTTTTGAGCTTAATCTGAGAAGTCATAGATTGAGTTCAAAAACATCGTACTTTTAGGATGTGATATGTAATGCTTTTGAAATTAGGAATTACCTGCAGGCAGATGGGAAATGTTTTCTTCAATACCGAGAGATTTCTATCGCATTAATATTCATACGCTGTGGCTGTGTTGTTTTCTGTATCCTATTGCTATTTGCATCTGACCACATGATCCTTTAAGTATTATATAGCCTTTTTCCAATAGACTAATCATAGCAAACCACAACTTTTTAAGAACCCTGTGAGGCCTTGGTAAAGGTTCTTTGTGTTTTCAACAAAGTAAAACCATCGTTTTCTTTATGCACTGGTCAAGTTTGAGATTTTTAGCTATTTGCTTCCATAACATGTCTTCTTGCAGACTAGTGGAACAGAAAGCGTATATGTATGTATATTTTACTACTTTGGCTATTTGCGTTTGTAGATTTCTCCTAAATTCACCAAAAGTTAACAATAGATAATGCCTAATTTGCATATTTTAAAAACTATTCAACTGTGGATATTTCATAGTGTCAAGTTGTTTTTTGTATTCTTTTCACCTATACTGTCTTGCAAAATGTACAAAACCCAAATGAAAGTTAAGGCTGACCCACATGTTTGCATCCTTAGAGTGGCTGCTGAAGCTGCGGTGCTGTTTGGGAACAGTGTGTGGGATGGAGTGGTATGGCTACGCTGCTCTGGGCATTTCGATGGCCATCCTCAGCTTTCTGATGGACCTCATTGTGACAAAGCTGCTGCGAGGTAGACACACCGACGTACAAGACACAATCTGAGTGAGCAAATGACAGAAAATTAATGTTTCGCTTTCACTCCACATGTAGCTCACCAGAGGCTTTATATGAAGCTGGAGGGCAACAGTCTGCTGCAGTTCTTCTGTTGGACCCTTTACCCAGCATGCCTCTGTGCAGTCGCATCATCGTTCTCCGACAACATCTGTCCCTTCTCCACAGGTCTGTCCAGCTACAGTACTAGTGTTAGCAACAAGGCATTTCCCTTGGGAGTTGGTGGAGAGCAAAGGAGCACAAAAAGCCAAGTGAATACTGGAGTCGCCTTTGTCAGTCGGATTGCAAACACGACTCAAAATGAATGCTACTTTTATTGTGTAGCACAGTGAAGGATCACTAATGATTCTAAATGTAGAACATCTTCCTTCCACCCATACAAGCAGCAACAAATGCTCGCTGGCGAGCCTAAATGGAAAAATATAAGTGAAAAAATAAATTCCACTGTTTGGCCTTCATTTGAATGATATTCATTATAGCAGGTATATGTAGAGGCTGGAACCTGAACAAAGGTCAGATTAGCTCGCATTTATTTGAATTTGGCGAGGCTTATCAGTGCATAATGGAAAGACCAGTCTGCCACCCCCGGTTCTCTAAAGTGAAGCCAATGCGAAAGTACCTTAAACTTGCATTCTTTCTCCTGCGGTTGCATAAAGAGGAGTGATTGTATAAGAGTCTAAGAAATGACCCCTACTTCTCACACGATTAATTTCCTTAGTAAATGTAAATAAGAGTTTATGTCTCAAGTGCTAGTTTCAAGGCTTAGACCAATCAACATGTTGATTTAGTAAATTACGATCCCATTTAGAGTAAAACAGATGTCAAAGCAAGGTTTGTGTTTTTATCAACACAAATATGGTCTCAAGAATTGTATAGTTATTTATTAGGCTCACAGACGTGTTACGGATACAGGACAGACGTGTTTTCTCAATGGACCAATTGTTTTATTGAAATAATGAAATAGGTATAGGGACCGGAGGTGTTTGGAAAGTAAAGGATGATAAAAACAAAATGAAAATGACTCAACCCAATAACGGGAATACAATTAGTTCCATTTCATTTTTTGCTAAAAAAAAGAAAAGAAAAGAAAAAATCTAAATTCACAATCTGAATCCTTTGGACAACCTTTGCATCTAAAACTACCAGTCATAACACATTAAGCAAAAATGGGAAAGTGGGCTGAGGCCACTGGTGGAGAGGCTGACTACACTGCGGAGGGCCCAGGGGTGTTACTGTTACTCACAAACAGCAAACATAGTGCAATTTTTGTTAGAGTGCTTTTACTTGGATGTATATGGTGTGTAGAGACCTCACCACGGGGGCCTAGCTTCCCAACAAAGCAACTCCGCTTCAATGAAAGAAAAGACACTAACACAAAAAAGAATCCAAAACAACCTGGTTGGTTCGATAATACAAGCAAAACAATGAGGAAAACTGAAATTGCAGTAGCAAAATGCCAGCGGGTGAACCTACAAAAGGGAAAACAGGTATTATCATGCTGCAAACTAAAATTATAAATGTTAATGAGGTGACCCCACTCACCACCTCCGTTATGGGGCTCTAACACATGGGATCACTCAAAGTGGTGGGCAGGACAACAATGAGGTCCCAACACACAATATGCTCAGCCAACACGACAGAGCAAAGCTAGAAAAGCAGGCAGTCAACTAAGTCTGCATTTTAAAAAGGCTGACTTGTGCATGCAAGTGATTACTTTAACTACATACCTGGAACACTATTACAAAACAGTGAACACAGGCCAATAGGTGCCTTGTATAGTCTGGCCCTAATTAATGAACTGGTTTGGGTAGGAGTCAGGCCTGGGACTGCATTCGCCAACACTACACATTATAGTATAGTCACTTGCACTTGGTGAGCATCCCCCACCACATAAGGCTCATAGCACATGATACAGTGTCATCAAGTGGGGTTCTTGAAGAAGATGAAGAACAGAGACGTGTATCATTTTTCCTTTTAGAAACATATTTTTAAAGCAAATGGCATTGAAAAAAGTCAAGTGTGATGTTATCTTTGAAATTCAGATAGGGTTAAAAGGGAAACGTACAGTATGAAACATCAACCATGATTTTATCTGTCTCACAGACAATATTTAAAGCATGATGTGTTTCCAGGAAGAAGGGATCTCTGTGCTTCGTAGATCGACCTCTAAGAGACGACCTCACCCCGTCGCCATTTTTTCTGCCCCAAGCAGAACAAGTCTCACAGGACACTCCTGCCCCAATCGTGTTTACGGCTTCTGCCCCTAAAAGTATGAGCACATTGCTCTGTTGTTGCCAAAGAGAAAAGCTATTAGATTAACCTGAAAAGGGCAAACGTGCTTGATTTATGTAACCAAGTTCCCCAAAGAAGCCACTTCAATACTAAAAACATGCCAACGTAACTTTACGAATCACAAACTAAATTGAGCTTAATTTTATTTTGTGCTGATTGTCCTTGCCACCACCTCAAACTGTTTACATATTCTGAAGTAATTCCTGTGCATTCACCTGGAATAGCTTTTATAAAACGTCTTGATTGCTTTAGTACGTCTCAGTCTTTAAAAAATACTGTCCTGTCACTTCATTTCTCCGCAGGCTCTGGGATACCAGAGGTGAGAACCATGCTGGCCGGCATTGAAATGCCTCATTACTTGTCTCTCACTAATATGTTTACCAAGTTCCTGGGCCTTATCTGTACACTGGCAGCCGGCAGCACTGTTTTCCTGGGCAAAGTGGTGAGAGGCGTCTCAGTATACCTCTTTGTCATACGAAGCATCCATTTGAAATTGTATGTCACAGTTCTCTATATTTGTCTCTTAACATTAGGGTCCGTTTGTGCATCTTTCCACCATGGTTGGAGCCTACCTGAGCAACCTCTGCACTCTCATACAACCCAATAAGAAGGTAGACCGTAGAAAGAAATTCAGCAATGGGTTTACCCACTTTACTCGGTGGAAACCAAAACGGAGCTAAAAGGAGAGTAAATATTGAACTCAGATTCATCGTGTTGCGCGACCGAAAGAGCGCAAAGGCTGAGTGTGAAAGTTCACTCTTAACCTTGAAATGAGTTTGACCAAATTGTCTTGACTCAAGGTCTATTCACTCAACAGTCTTCACCAGCTGAGGAAGACCATGACAGGCAGTTGAAAAGCCAGTAATTACACCTCGAGTCAATATCGCTTTGTAGAAGGGAGGTACGCACCATCCAAAAACTCTTGAAGGGGTGCTGAACCAAACACAAATGATGCATGCTGTTTCTTTGCCCTGACAATAACATTTGATTTCACATGTGCAACATGACTGCTCGAGTCAAAGTTTGGGAGCAAAGAAACAATGTGCAGGTCATACTACTATTACTGTCTTTTTTAAATTCAAAATGCTAATGTTGTTCCGTGTTTGCTGGATGTGTAAATATGAAACTATTTGCCAACAAACATCAACAAACTAAGAAAGAATGCAGCTGCAGGAAAATGGAGAGATTTATGCATTTTATAAAATGGCCTTGTTGTACTTTATGAATATTTTTCACAATATGATGAAGAAGGTATAGCCTATTAGGATATAAGTAAATATCATTGTGAAATCAAGTATTGAATATTGTATTAAATCTTCACAAAAGAAAAGAAAATGCATTTGGTTAGAATAGAAACCGCCTTCTGAAAAGTTTCATTGTTACTTCCTGGAGGATATTAAGGTCTGATAAGAGACGGCACATTACGGCATCTTTCTCTTTTAGGAAAAAGCTGCTGGAGAAATGCTGGTTGTAGCTGCCGCCGTCGGAGTAGCCAGCTGCTTCGGAGCTCCCATCAGTGGTGAGGGAGCCAGTGCGGGTTCAGCATCAGGAATTATTATCTATCTGATGTCGCTATATCTCTCTTTCTCACACTTTTCTGGTTAATACAGCTCCACCTGACATTTCCCACTTCTTAGCTTCACATATTTGCTCTTCCCTTTTATCCTCATCATAATGTCTATGTGTTCAGCATCTTCCTCCTTTGGTCGCCTCTCGGCCTGATGCTTTGATCCTCTCAGCTCACTTTGAATGCATATTTTTTTTCCTTTTTGCTTGATTTGTGCCACACAAGCAGGCAAAACGATCATTTATTTTCTTTTTTTGTCTTCTGCTCATTTAGCTGACAATAACTACTGCTGTTTTTGGAATGTCTAAAGTGACTTCCTCACTCTCCTCTGCTCCTGTAGGTGTGTTGTTTAGCGTGGAAGTGATGTGTTCCCACTTTGCCCTGAGGCATTACTGCCCATGTTTCTTCTCAGCCGCATGTGGGGGGTTGACGTTCCGCCTGTTCTCAGTGTGGAGTGGAGATGGAGGTAATGGAGGCCCCTGACGGAAAGCCCTTCCAGATGAGTGGGAGCTGCTACAGCTGGAAATCAAGGCCCATGGCTTTGGAATGAATGAAACAATCATAAATGGCTGTAATTTCCAGGTGTCCATATACTTTTGGCCTCACAGCATATGTGCCGAAATCAACAGACAACCCTAACGATTTGTAAAAAAAAGTTATGTTTTAGTGTGTATATGTTTACCTATAAGCATGGTCATATTAAAATGCTACATTTTTAAATTGAGTTAAAAGTTCCAGTGTGTAGGATAAAATATTGTATAATCACCTTAGAATGAGTCGTTTTTATCTACGTAGGGAGCGGGTCCTCTTCCACTGCACCGCCATGTTTCTACAGTAGCCAAGAATGGACAAACCAAACACTGACTCTAGCGAGAGTTTTACGTTTTTACGTTACCTGAAGGCCACCCCGAAGTGCTAGGAAAGGGAAGGGTAAGCGGAGGATTCAGTTATTTGCAATCTGCAACCTCACCACCAGATGCCACTAAATCCTGCACACTGATCCTTTCCGTACTCTTCTCCCATGAGAGAATGTCACAGTTGAAGGCCGACTGACATACATATTTCAACGTAAATATAATGCTTTGTTCATTTCAGCTTGTCAGCGATGTTGACAACCATCTAATTACTTGTCAGGACAATGACTGGGAGCATCAACTTTGTCAAAATTAGCAGAAACATTTCCGCTGACCGACAGCGAATTTCAATAAAATCTCAGCGCAATAAAGTGAGGGAAGATAGAGATTTTGAGAGGCTGTGGGAGAAATAAGAGGGATGACTTCAATTTGTTTTGTGTCCACAGAGACTCCTCAGGCGTTGTTCAAAACTAATTTCCCCTCTGCTTTACCTTTCTGCCCACTGGAGATTCTTCTGTTTGCCTTCCTGGGGTGAGTTTACTTTTGACAGCGTCTGCATAGTTAACCAAGTCCTCTATTTGTCTGAGTCCCACAAATAAAAACTGACATTTTAGTGTTCATATTCCTATCAACAGTGAAAAGTCTTTGACCATTTTCTGCATTCCTCCTATATTCGAATCAGCATTCAGAGTTATTTTTGCTCTCAAGTCAATCATTTCCTGGCCTCCTCCTCCTCATCACTTCCCCGAGAATAATGACTTCCGATAGTCTGCTAATGACGAGGTTAAAATCAGCCTCCTGTATCCCGCTGTGGACTGAGTGGGCTTTCCGTCTGCAAACAGGCTGCTGTGTGGAGCTGTGAGCTGCTGCTACCTCCTCTGCCATCGGTGGATCCTGCGATTCATCAAAACAAACCCCATCTTCATCAGAATGCTGACGACAGAGTGAGAGCTCTTTGCGATGTGAAAGCCTGATAGTGATTCAGCGATGAGTCATCCGCGGTGCAAGACAGACGCGTGAGATATATTTTAGGTGGAGTATTAGTTCAAGCAGATTGAGGGGCCAATGGTGTGTTTCTTTCTACTGTATTACAAATCTGTTAGCCCCTGAATCCATTTTACCATACTGATATGCGACTAACAGCTTTATGATTGATGATAAATGGTCTTTCAAGCAACATTTAGATGTTGTTTTTCTTTTTAAACCTAGCGATTTCATATATCCTCCAGATCTAAGTAGTGTAAAACATTGTAAACCTTTGAAAGCAGATCTGAAAAGCACCAGAGCTGAAGTTTATTCCGATGAAGTCACAGAGAGCGGTCAGCCCATTGAATCGCATTGAAATTTCAATAGGATTCACCCAAATGAGAGTAAACTTATAACAATGGTGCCTGTGTGAATATGTCTCTGCAGGAAGGGTCTATACTCAGGCATGGTGGCCCTCTTCCTGGCATCTCTGACATTTCCTCCCTCTGCTGGTCAATATATGGCTTCTAAGGTAGGAATTAAAGGCACAGTTTATTTCTTTTGGGGGCTTTATAAACACATAATTGATGACATGGAGCCATGCTACATATAGGAAATGTTGTGCTTGTCATACAGTATTGAGAGACGGATTATTAGATAAAAATGTCTTTTCTTGAGACAGTAAGAAAAACAATAGAACAACGCCAGACTCGTCCTTTAATGTTCACCCTTTGTTTAGTTTTTCTCGTGTTTGCACAATACTCTGAATGGCAGAAATGTCTTTCACAGCTCACCATGAAGCAGCTCCTAACCTCCCTACTGGATAGCAGGCAGTGGAGCTCTCGATCCCACAATGCCTCTGTTCAACTGGGGCCCGAGCCTTTGTTGGAGTGGAGCTCACCAGGGAGCCCAGTCCTTTCTCTGGCTGTCTTTCTGCTCATGAAGGTACAAGCAATTGAGAAAGCCATTTAAGAAGTCTTTTTTTTTTATATCTGTCTACCTGCACTTATAACCAACAAAGCACTCATTCCTTTTATTGCCTTGGGTCACAGTGACCCTTAATTAACATACAGTAATTGACATTTGCACAGTACGGTATTGATTAAAAAACTCATGCACTGCACATATCTAGCATTCTCATTTGCACTCCAAGCGGATGGAAGCCTTGCTTACTGTTGCAAAAAAAATGCTTTTGTATGTTGACATTTCTGCATTGAGATGAGATCTGCTTACTGTGATTGTCCCCTCATTACCAGCTGCAGATGTGAAGTGGCAAAAAAATCTGTTTATTTTCACAAAATTGATTTGAGAGCAGTGCACACAGCGCGACAAGTGACTCATCTGCTGTGCTTGTAGAGCTGTTGTGGCTGTTCAGATGGCGGAGGAGAGAGTTGACAGTGTGTGTCTCTGTTGTTTGTCCTCAGATGTGGATGTTGGTCCTCGCCTGCACTCTGCCTCTGCCAGCTGGGTACTTCATGCCAGTGTTTGTCTATGGTGAGTGAAAGAGAAGCACCTGGGCGAGTTTTTGTTTTTGCGGAATACCTGAAGTCTTGCTGCATCCTCTCACCAGCATGTGAATCTGAAAGATCGAGAAACTCCTCTTGCGTGTGTGTTTTTCTATTTCTGTTCTCCAGGGGCAGCTTTGGGCCGTTTGTTTGGAGAAGGAGTAGCTTATGTGTCTTCCACTGGATTGACTTCAGGCCAGCAGTGGGCTTCTGTAAATCCTGGGGGCTATGCACTTGCTGGTAGAAGACATTCATCACTGGCTCTTTGCTGTGCATATCGAGAAGCTGTATATCTGCAGTGTTTATATCCCTCTTTAATCCACTTTTTCTTAATGTTGTATCCTACTAACCACTGTAAGTTTTTGTGAGCCACGGACTATGTTTTCACCAAATCTGCCAAGAGCTCATATTTTAGACCAATATCTGAATTTGATCATTTTAACGTAAACATATTCCAGAAAATTGCAAGTATTTAGTGTTATCAGGATGTAATAACCCTATAAAGCAATATTATGTTGAATAAAATGTAAATTTGTGCTATCATGTTAAAATACTTAAGTGATCAAGATAACATGAGTACTAACTGTTTACAACACCATTAGTACCCTAAAGGATACTAAAATAAATTTTTCAATACGGGGTGGCAAAGACGAGCACTTTTAGTGGACGTACATTGACAGTGTGGAGATGTCCACACAAAATATAGGAAATAGGATCAATGTTGAAAAACAGCCTTTGAGTAGTGTCTTAATGTGGTTTCTGCCTTGTAGGTGCAGCAGCCTTCTCCGGGGCCGTGACACACACCTTGTCCCCAGTGCTGCTGGCTTTAGAGTTAACCGGTCAGTTCAGCCATGCTGCACCCATCCTCCTCGCCACTCTGCTGGCCAATGCCCTTGCTCGCTCTGGGCACCGCCCATCTTTCTATGACGCACTGTCAATCAGCAAGAGGCTCCCACACCTGCCCTCTCTGGTGAAGGCGTGCCCCCGGTAAGTAAAAACGAGGTGTCAGATGGATCAAAGTAATACACCAAGTTTTGGGATGATCACCTCCGTGTCGGCAGTTACACAATGACTAAACAATAAATAATATGGAAGCAGTGTGAAAAGTCCTGGAAATACTTCACAAACCCAGCTAAATCAGATATATATTATTATATAATATTGGTCCAGCACTAGTCCAAAGTGAAACATTTCAACAAATAATAGGTGAATGCCATCAGATATGTTGGAGATAGAGGATCCATTCTAAAGACTCAGATGATCCCTATGTGTTTAACCTTTAACACCATGCTGTCTTCATTTGCAGTTGTCCAACACAAACTCAAAAGCTATGACTGAATTCCTGCTGCCTCACTGTACTTTGAGATTAATGCACAAAACGTGGTGAAGGTTACAGCACTAAACATTGGTATTTTATACGCATACTGTACGTTAAAACACTCAATAACATTTAATTCAAAGCACAGTTGAGCCTAATTGCAGATGATCCGAGTATGAGAGCTGAGTGTGAGGCACAAGTGCAGAGGATTCTCTCATTCCGTTGACTGTGTCAAAGTTACACATAATTCACAATAAGCAAGCTAAAGACTGTTATATATTGTGAAAGCTGCAGGTGTGAGGATGGATTTTAAACAGCTGAATTTCAAAAGCAGGCAAAGTAATGACTCAAGAGAGCTCGATCAACCACCTGCACAGCAATTTTTCTCAATTTGTGCTCTGAAGGAGAAAATGAGTTGCATGTGGATATTTCTGCCTTGACAACAGTTTATTATATCTGTCAAAGTAAAGCATCTCTAATGCAATAAGCTCTTGGAGAAAATCACTTTTTCCGGACATCAGGCTACTAATTAACAAATTTTTGTCCATTAAAATGTAAATGAAATGTAAATCGACACTTCATGGATCCAACAGTTTTGTTTTTTGGTGTGGTCTTTGTACTTTAGGCCACACCAAACACAATTAAAAAACATCCCTCACTATCTCTCAACATAAACACCCGGTCTCGGTCTCACTTCACGTCGCAAGTCATTTTCAGAGTCATTTTTCCTCATATTCTGCTATGAGTAAATATTCCTTGAAAGCACTGATTAGATATAAATATAGAGTTGACTAATCACTATTGTGGCTGTAGGTTACATGGGTACATGACACCATACCTTCTCGCTGACAGCAGTTACCGGCCTCACTGAGGTTTTTCCCTCCACACTTGTGTCTCACGCAGACTGGATTTTCAGCCTCTAATAATACGCTTCGATGGAAATCAAGTCGTCGTCACCCACAGCTCCTTGTCGACAGCATTGAGGTGGAGACGACTTATTGTCTGACAGAAGACGCTACTTGAGAAACGACTTGAAAATGGTTTCCCCAGAGTCTCCTGTGTACCCTGTGAATTTGTTGACAGAAGTAATTTGCTTCTGTTTGTACCATGGGCACAATCGTGTCAGATCCACCATCAAACCAAACCACTGATTTCATGAATCCTTACAACCTGAGACTGGTTTTGAAAAGGCGTTAACCTCCAGATGTATTAGATTTAGCCACTGCTGCTTTTGTTACAGGTGTGACACGATTCCTCTCTATTGCAGGCTTCCCTCCACACCAGTCGGACAGGTTCTGGGAGGGAAATCAGTGCAGCTTCAGAAAGCAGCTGGGCGAGTGGAGGTTCAGCATGCTGTCAACACCAGCACTGACACACAAATCCCTGTGGTGGACTCACATGGTGCGCAGACAAGGATATTTCGATTATTTTACCCCAGTCTTGCCAAGGAAATCATATTTAGTCTAAATCTTCCCATAAAAAAATGAAATAGATATAAGTGAGGACATGGACTATTGACACACAGTCATCAGGATCTTTAAGAAAATGTCAGATACACTCTGGATGAACACAGTCCTTGAAAAGAATGGAGGAAAATGATGAGAGAAATGATTGTAACCGCTTATAAAGCTGCAGCGATTCAGCCGTGTTAAAGTCCCCCGACAAGGAGCCCACAAGTGTGAGAAAATCGTTGCAAATACATTGATGGATTTTTACGTTTGCAACAGAGGACTCACAGCCCACTAGAGAGCTGCACACACTCGAAACTGTTGCACCGACTGTGGCAACGAAAATTGATTTGCTCTCCTTTCTTCTGTTGAAGATTCGCAGGTTATACTGGGCTTTGTTCTCCGGTCAGAGCTGCTAATGTTCCTGCGCCGCTGCACGGCTGAGGTAAAAGGCTGGATGGAGTCACACAGGTATAGCTGCAGGGTTCGGGAGAAGGTAGAGGAGTGCATTGTCTGATGCTGTTTAAAAGGCAGGTCATGTCTTTACATTCCGCTGGCTGACGTAAAAGCTCATCTTATGACACCTGACATCCGTTTTAAAGCATTATAGTGTTAGAAAAATAGAGCTGCTTTTGAAAAACAGATGGTAGCAATGTCCAAGAGTAGAGCAAGTATGAACACATTCAGGACAGTACAACACAATTGTAAATCATACTTCCTCAAATGCTACTGAATGCTGCGGCATGACAAGCATGCATCTGTTAGAAAATGCATACACACGTTCAATCATTTTGTGTTGTTCTGTTCAGACTCTGGAGAAACATCTGGATGAGGTCTGCTGCATTTACCCGACCTCTGTCCTGTTATCACCTCACAACACCGTTCAGGAGGTAGGGAGACGTTGAGCAACTCTGCTGCTCCACTCAGCTTTACGGAGCTTTTTCAGCGACATGGTTGTGTTTGCATTGGACTTAGTTCCAAGCCCAGTGCATCGCAAACACGCTAAAGGTAGCCTCTGTGGCGAGGGCCACTGATCAAGCTGCTGTTTTTGAGGCATTGGGAGTGAGAATGGGTTGGCCCAGCACCGATCAGCGGAGAGGCAAGATTAGCAACTAGCTGGTGAACATAGTCGAGCATCGAGCAGTGTAAGATATTGCCCTCAGGAGTTGGTGGAGACCAAAAACAGAGCTAAAAGCCAGTGAATGGCCAGAAACATGACTGAACAATTATAAATGATAGTTATTGCAGGTATAATGACAGAAGATTGGTAGCAATCTTCTCAGCTATCTCTTTGAATGAAAGTGAATAATCACATTTCCCAAAATGGTGAGCAACTTTTACTTCTAATCCCTTTCCTTTGCGTCCTCTAAGGCCCACGGTATCCTGAGTCTGGTTGGAGTTCAGACCTTGTTTGTCGCAGACAAGGGAAGGCTGGTCGGGATCATCACATGGCCAGAGGTAATACGTGTTTGTGTGTTATGTGTGTATTCACACTCACTAACAGCCACAAATATAATACTCAATGTTTTCTTAATGACACACACAGCTTGAGTTTGTTTGGTTCCTCTTTGGGCGTTTGTCTCGTCCATATACACATTGGAAACAAGACCATTTGCATTTGTAATTGGGTGTCGGGAGACAAAATGGCTATATACGAATTCAAAGCTGTCTCTTCCCTCTCTCCACATTTCTTTCTCTATTTTCTCCTCCAGATGAAGAAAATATTAGAAGACTTGGCCAAAGAAATCTAAGCAGCAACACACAGGAAATAAGCTCATCCCTTGGCCTTACTTTTATTTTAAGCAAACGTGAATCCATCTCTTTCTTGATTAGCAGTGACACAAGCCTGGCTCTGGTAATAATATCACTTCTTCATTGCCCAAAGGTAACAATGTTTGCATACAAACAAAACTATCATCCGCTGGAGGCTTCTTAACATGTATTAGAGGTTATTGTCTTGTCTTTTATTGAAAATAGCAGGGTCTCGTCCACTGAGGCGATAGCAGACTATCTCATTCCCTGACCCTCAATTTGTAACAGAGCAATATTAAAAGTGTGTCTACCCTGAATAATATGTGGGGATGAAAACAAAAGCCTATAAAACTGTTTGTACACCAAATAACACAATGTTGATGCATTTTTGAGAGTTTGAGATTGGCTTTTTACCCTCCATGCAGTCTTTGGTTTCTATTTATTTCACTACACTATGAAAATCACCTTGCAGACCATTAAAACGTCATTGGAACTGTCACATATCCACCAAACACATATTACCTAATTAGACAAAGTTGTATCAACATCTTGTTGTGATGGAGTTGGCTAGTGGCTCACTTAAACTCACAGTCAGTCTACCTTGTCTTTAAAGGTCTAAATGTCTAGAATTGGCACCCCCAAGTAATACCATCAAAAACGTTTATTGGCCAGCTGATAGCAACACCAATATTCACCTGAATGAAAAAGTGTGAATATTAGCTAATCATAGTCGAGACCCAGACAGATAATTGGGTTTACGCTTCCTTTACAACAGACTTCTTCTTCTCTCTAGAGTCAGCTGACAAACCTCAAAGAAGACATATTTTCAATTTATTTCATGTTATTTTCTATACTCTATGCTGCTTTAGTGTTTTGTTGTATGCTGAATAAAAATAAAAATGAACAATGGAACTATGTACATTCACAAAAGTACACGCCTCAACATGGGAGAAAATACAATTTGGAGTCTTTGTATCTGAGGACCAGGCGCTGAAACCTCCCCATGCCAGCCATTTGCCTTTATGTTTTGGGTCAGCCATTGCTGGTGGATGGGACTCAAGTCCTCTCAGTAGGGCTCATTTTAGAGATTGCCATCAAGATTGCTGGCTCGCTTTCCTGTTTAGCCTAGTTATAAAAAACGTCATCCTCGGATAGCGAGCTGCTGTCCACGTGTCGGACAGCAGCCTCCGCAGTCGCAGTGCTTCTGTTATCGAGGGGACGATATCTGTCCTGCTGGGTGTTGGACATCGGGGAAATGGTGTGGACCACTGGCGGACAGACCAAGTTGGCCGCCCTGTTGTCACTATAAGTCTGGGCGTGGATGCTGTACAGGTGCTGAGGAACGCTGACGCTTCCACCATCCAGCAGGAACTGGGACAAGAAGTGGCTTTGTGCAGCTGAGGAGGGATAATAACAGTGTTAGTCACACTAGTATATGCTTGAAATAGAGATGCACTCAGTGCTTGACTTGGATCAAAAAAAGTATAATTCATTCTGAACCAGCTGCTGCATGTAGATTACATATGACTGTAAATCCATTTAAATACAGTGAATTTCCTCCAAAGCTGGTAAAATATATGGATAGAGGATACATTTCTATTTTGTTCAGTTCAAACTAATTTAATTTTGCAAGTATGGCTTCAAAAACAGAATTTGAATATGTGCTCAAATAGTAATTACAATGAAAAAGACGAACTGAAAGCAACCATATACTGTATTTGGGATTTGTTTTAGTTAAGGCAAATCTGACACCATTGATTGCCGAAGTTAAGTGTCATTTACATACTGAAAGTAGTAGCTGTGGACTGTGATTATGCGGGGGGGGGGGGGAATGCACCGCATGTAATATCAGCATTAAAGAGGACATATCATGAAAACTCACTTTTTCATTGCTTGTGCACATACAGTATCAACCCACAAACTGTGAAATAAGACAACTTCAACGTCAGTTTTTGTGGGCTTTCTATAACATGTGACACGACAAGCCATTCAGATTTGGCTCCCCTTCACATGTCACGTGCAGGTTCAGTAGAACATACCGCCCCCTTCACCGGAGTATCTCCACCCACGGCTTTAGAACCACCTTTGCAAAGGTGCACCATATTTTTCTCGCAAGCCAATCAGAGCAGACTGGGGTTTTTCTGGAGGGGGTCTTAAAGAGACAGGCGCTTAAAGTGAGCGTTTCAGACAGAGGGTGAATACAGGTATATTCAGAAAGACATTACGAGAAAGATGATGTGTTTTTTTAACATTAATGGATGTTAACATGTTCTAGTAGAAACCCCAAATGCAAGTATGAACCTAAATATTAGCACAATATGTCCCCTTTAAGCTCAAAGTAAGGTGGAGGTTGATTAAAATATGGACGTTATTTTGTTTATTATGGTGAAGCTTAATAACAAGATATGGTATGACCACAGTCAACAGGTGCCGTCCTCTGGAGACCATGAATGTGTATACACAATTTCATGTGTGACATTACAGCAATGCCATTAGTAAAGTTAAAAACGGAATTAAGAAAATAAAAACATCTGACAGTGATGCACACATCACACTCAGGATTCGTTTGCTCCAGTGGGTAAGAGCAAACCTAGTGTTTGAAAAATGTTCCATATTTTAATCTAACATATAACATATCAGATCATATATATTTGCATTACACATAAAATAATTTAAGTTGTACAGCAGGTGTTGATTCTGTGTGTTATGTCTTGTTCCATCAGTCCAACAGTAGCATTAAAGAAAAGACTTATAATAATAGCCAAATCCACACTATTACAGCAGAAATGGTTCATTTTAATCTTTTGGTTCATTTGTTTTCAGACACAACAGATCTGCAAAGTTTGCACAAGACCTCATTAGGAAATCTAACATTAAGTTAAAAAGAGACATTTTAGACCAAAAGCTCTTTTACATGACAAACCTTGTAAACTGGTGGAGGGCTGCTCTAAGCTGTCATTCAGGGACCACACATTCATGGACGCCTCTGCCAAGGCAAACTGCTCTGCTACTCCTGTGAAACAAGCACGTCTGATCCTTTTCTCAGAAGTGGACCCCCAGTTGTTTTTTTACCGCCATCACAAACAAAGCGAAATCGAATAAGTGCTCTAGATTTGAGTCACTCTCAAATATCCCTTAAGATGTCATGGCACATCTTAAGGGATATTGATTTTTGTAGACGCTCTCTCTGCACAAGCCAATCAAACAGAAACAATGCCCACAGGGATTTGAGTGTCACTCCATCTCCACCGACCACGACTTGTTTTCCTTCAATTTAATTAATTTGTCTGTCTCACCTGCAGCGAAGCGAGCTTCCTTGATTTCATCCGTCATTTGGGAGTAGAATTGTTCATCCTCATGCAGCTCGGTCCCCACACCCCCCCAGCCTCCGCCGCCTTTACCCCAGTTCCCGCTCCAACCGCCCCCGCTTCCCCTGGCCTCGCTGCCTCCACCCCAACCTTTCCACTCAATTAGGTGAGCAACTCGCCCCTGTGCCATCGCAGTCGGCTTAGTGATATGCTCCTTTATTGTGGCCACCAAACCTAAATAAGAGGAAGACAAGGAGGGCAGCATCATGATAAAGTGGATTAGATGGACAGCAGAGGATAAAAGGAGACAATTTGAGGAGAAGCTAAAGTTATAGGCAACATGAAATGGTGTGATATGTGGGTATGTGATAGAGAATGAAGAAAAATGTCACATTAAGAGACAGGAATATGGAAATGGACAAAAGAAGACACATAGAGCAAGAAGAATGGGTAAAGCTATGAATTGAGAAGAATACTTTGGCATAATTCAGACTTTGAAGGTGAACATTTTCTCCTGATTTGCATAACCTGAAGCATGAAAGAGTTGTTCTTTCCCGCTGCAGAGTTCCATTAAGGTTGAAAATGATAGTGTAACGGCACCAACGGTGAATTTGGAGAGAATTGTACATTTTCTTGATGATTACGGACAGCACTTCAACAGCACCGTCAGAAGCCCACAGGGGTAGAAAACCTATAATGAAAATTCCTCAAAATGAAATATTTAATTTGACTCACAATGAGATAACACAAGACAACTTTGCTTTAAAAAGTGCTGCGAGGTACAAGGAAACAAGGAAAGTCCATCAGCTCTCTGCATACTGACTTTAAAAAATGAGAAAGTGTTAAGCGTTCTAAGCTGTGGTCACACAAGTCCTTTCAGTGCATATAGCTCTAAAGGTATATGTGCACAGACAGAAACCAAAGCAAATTTTTGCCGTACGCCATTTGTGTGATTTTGACTGCTGGGTCAAAACTGCTGGGCTGTTTGATTCGCTCCAAACAGCCGATGAACCAGCTGTGCCGACATTAGCTGTAAGTTCGCTAGCGACAGATCGCGCTCACCTGCATCTTTCCAATTACTTTTTCGCTTCATGTTTTGTCAGAGCACACCTTAATAATTAAACGTTCAAGCTATGCAAGGCCTGTCTTTTTTTCATTCAAAACTCAAATTGGTTTGTTGTTATTGTTATTGTGACTGACTCAAATCATCAGCTCTGTTGCTTTAACTTAATGGACTCATGTCAAGATTCAAGCAGCATCTAATAGAGGTGCTGTGACCCTGTATCTCTACAGTAATATCATGTTATTCATAACCTGTAGAGTCACTGGGCAAAACTACAATGGAGCCATCATTTATTTTAATCACACGAAGGGTAGAAAAGGTCGAGGGGATTGAGGGGTTGAAGCGAACGTGACAGGACAGGTTACCTTGGTCATAATTGCAGAACAGGTAAATTAAACATGATGTGAAAGGACGAGAAAGCAAAGGTTGAAAAGGCAAAGGTGGAAAAAGAAAATGAGGAGGAAAGGTTCAGGTTGGAAGAGAAAGAGGAGGACAGAGCAACAAGATATTGAAACACTTGATAAAATAACGAAGCCAAGAGAGTTGGCAGCCTGGGCTAAGTGAAAGAGAGAACAAAAAAAAAAATCCTGACATGTTATTTTTATTTGAGCTCAACACCTACTGACTCTTCTCTGTGTTCTTTTGTGCACTGTGACACCCACTGCTGTCTCACCCAACGTTCACACTGTGACAATGAGGCTCTGTTCTGGCTGACACTCGATGGTGAGGAAATAGATGCAAACATAAGCTATGTTTGCATCTATTTCCTGACCATCGAGTGTGCACATCACTATTTAAGTGATGTGCACACTGCAGGAAAATCCCATTTGTTTGTCGAATTTGATATTTTAGGCTTTCTCTCCACACTGCGGTGTCAAAATGACCAGATCGTATCAGGTTGCCATCACACCCCGTGCACAGAATAATCATGCGTTTGATGTTTCAGTGAGCAGCAGCAAGCTAGCAAATATTTCTCTGTTGATTTCTAAGGCTGTGCCGAATGTTTGATTTTTTTTAATCCAACATTAAATATGATAACTGACTAGAAATTATGTGGATTTGTTTTTGCATTTCGCACGTTAGAAAGAATATTTGATTTGTTTGCCAAAAGGTCTTTCTGTGTAAACAAAAGTAAAACATTTTCATGATGTTAGATGGTAGCATAACAATGTACTGATGTTTTTGGTCACAAGATGTAAACAACATTGGTATATTAAATCGATTATTGACCACCCGATCACCTTTATAATATACCAATTATAAAGGTGATCGGGTGGTCAATAATCGATTTACACAACCGGCAGATACGGAGCATCATTGGCATTCAAATGTAAGTCCAGTAACTAGCTCTGTTTTTTGTCTCCACTTGTCTTCTCTTTGGTGCTCGGCAGGTAGCAGTTGATTCATAGCAGCTTTTTGCTGAAAGCGTGTGCCTACTGTGTCTGGAATCGAGGTTGGTGAGAGCTGTGAGACTGAACTAAAGTAAAGATCTGGGCAGTAAAACCAAACAATGGGTTGAAAGACATTAAAACGTTCCATAGAGCCGAGAGTGCGGTAAAAATTCGATGGAAAACAAGCATTTTCTGGTATTTGAATACCTATACTGTGTAACAGGAGCTTGTACTCACCATTGCCAACATTTTGCTATATAAAATTGAACCAATCAAACATTTTTGAAATGCCCCACTGTAATGTCACAGCTAGATTCAGTATTTTGAAGAGGTAAGGAAGAGGCAGGATCAACAATACTGACATTTCTGTGGATGCTGTAAGAAATGAATGGATTTCACAGTCTTGTTTATTATGTTACAACACAGTGTTACCGTCAATAATGCAACCACAATCCATTAGGAATAAGTCCCTTTACAGAAATAGACATGTATCGCATACTGTGAGGCATCACTCCCTGCTGTTGCTGTGAGGAAACAAAGGGGCTGAACAAACATGGAGTGTAGGTGTTGCATTCAGAGCTTTGTTATTTACCAGCCAACACGGGAATAGTTCTAGAAAACAACATTTTATCACATCCTAAAGCGGGTCTAATTGGTAATAACTGTAATGTCCAAGCAACTACAGTGTTGATTTTAAGTTGTGGTAGATTGAACTAATAAAAAAAGCAAATCAAAAGCTGACAAAAACATTCGTATTTTGAAGGCTGCTAATATCAAAAAGATACAGGTACAGTTTTCTCAAGGTTTATTCTTATCGACGTGTCAGGGCATCTGGTGCATCCTTTAGATGACCTATAGAGACCAAAAAAACACTTTTTATATGTGTCTATGTGAATTGAATTGAATTTGGATTCAGCCTCAAGTCACCATTAGAGGAACTGCAGTTTTTGTCACTTGACAAGGCCTCATTATGTCACACTGGTTTCGATTACCGGACCAGAGTATTTAAAAACAGACATGTACACTTTTTTAAAAAAGCGATCATCATTACATGAGCTTTACTGAACAAAAAAACTACTTCTGAACCGTTTCATTGCTTTATACATGAAGCATAGCAAACACGAAGGACGATTTAAGTAGCCTATTTTGTTTACCATGCTTAGGCTGATGCCATTATATTACCTGTATTTGCTCATATACCAGAGCATTGGACACATTGAATATTTGAGCAGATGATGGCGCTAGATGACAAGTTAAAGGTTCACCAAAGTTGTTCCAGCTATCCAACAGTTATTGAGACATTTCATCTGGTGGCGCAAAAGGAAAAAGTCAGGGGATCACCAAAGTCATTAGGCGTCATCCTTCCTTGAGCCACAGCGTTAGCATGACTAAACACACCAATGCCACATATGCATTCATATATGCGGAATCTGATTGTTCAGTCACTCTGTCCGTCCATGCAACAGAAGCAGTATATCTCAACAACTGCTTGGCAGCCCGCACCCTCAAGACAAACTTTGTTTACTCTCACTACGAGGCTGTTAGGTTAACATAACTGCCATTAACTCCTTTGTTCAGTGCAACACTATTAAATTAATGGAATCTAATGATTTCATTTCAGTTTCTTGGTGCCACCAGCAGGGCTTTTTAAACCATTTGCTGTTGATAACTTCACATCAGCTTGATACATCGATCAAACAGCATCATACGAGAAGATGAAATGTAACGTCTGCATGATATTCTTCTAAATGTAATTCCATTAGTACAATAATAACAATGTTTGCCGCAGTGGGATCTGACTTCAGCAGGTTGTCGGCTGCACTTTGTGACTGCTCCACTCCACAGAAGTTGCTCCGCCAATTTATATGATGACAAGTGAGTAAGTCTGAGTAAATGTCAAAAAACATTTTTTTTTGTTTTTTTTACTGGACCGGTTCTGTCATTCCCAAAGCAGGTGTCAGCCTCTCAGCTGTCTGCCTGAATGTCTGTATTCGTCTATCATATTCATGAGGTTTTCACAGCCTTCATAATTATGCTGTCGGGGTAATAAAAGAGCTTTCACTGGGGAAAGTTCAGCAAGGCATAACACATTAAGTCAGATAATTAACCTCCCGCAGAGAGAGGGAAGCCGTGGAGATGGGGAAAGGGGGATGAAAAAGAGTAGGAGGCACCGACATGATGAGAAGAGGAAGCCAGACTCAAAGGTGAAGCAAAAAATCAAATGGGTGAAGGAACCGTGTGTGTAACTGACTGTTTACTCATGTCTGGATGGATACAGCATATGTGTGAGAGATAAAGGGTATGAAGGAAGAGGAGAATTACAATGCTAACCTTCCATGGTTACTAACGCAATTTCCCAGCTTGCTGTTTCCCCAGTCTCATATGTTTCATCTATAACGAAACACAACATGACCTCAACCTGTTTATGTTCGTGTGTTTGTGTCTGTCTGTCTCACCCATCAAAGAGGAGGTGGCCAGCTCGCCGATATCATAGCCGTTGCTTTTATCTGACACACTGCAGTTGGACGGGTTCTGGCCATCCTGCACAATATGATGCGCAAGAGGAGGGAGAATGTCACATCTTTATCATTGATGTAAGGTGAAAAGCTTTTTCTCCAATGGAAACGAGTAAAATAGCTATAATTTACCATTTCTGACATGGGATTTTGAATGAAAAATAGATATTTTTTTATCTCACATTGGAGCAAGCCATACAAATCACCAGGATCCATGAATAAAAAACAACACATACACACATCCAAACGCACACATAAGCACATTTATATACATCGTCCTCTGGCAATCACGTCCTGTGTGTGATGACTCAACCCAGACACACAAACACACACAAAATGGGGATGATAATAACAGCTGGAATTAGTCTAAAAGTAATAAAGTAATTTAAACTTAAACATAAGGTGTTTACGCCCAAGTGGCAACAATCAATATGGAAAGAGAAACTGCATTGCAAATGCATTTCCCTTGGTTTAGTATTTTTGATCTGCAAGTAAAACCTTCAAGCTTTTTTTCCCAAATATGTTGCAAGAAAAATAGGATTATAAGTAAGTACATGTTTACACATTAGTGGATGGTTCCACTTCAAAGTACTGGAAACCATTCCAAATTAAGTTTTACAGGCAATAAAATGTTGCAGTGGTATCTTGGGTAAATTATGGCCCTTTCTGTTTTTGACATCAAATGCTTCGTTGCCAGATGTGTGATCACTGCAAACCCAAAGAGGTCTTGGTCCTTCCATTAAAATGGATCTTTTTAGGTTTTAACAAAATGAATTCTTAACAATTCTTATTTAATATCATGATATCTGTAAATGTATCATTAAATAATGATTGTAAGACACAGTTTGGTAGGTTTAACATTTATTCTATTTGTGATGCTTTGTAGCGCAAATAAAAATGTTATAAAAAGGCTGGTTGTAAAGTAAATCATCCATACAAACATATCCTACTTTAGTAAAAGTATGTAATAACTCAAATGTCTCATTTTTTCAATGGTGGTAATATCTTTAAGTTTATTTTGCTAATAGCTGTCCAGATAGCTTGCAAAAACTAACTGTACAGTTAGCTCAACATCAAACTGTGAAATACAAAAGAATAACTCTGAAATCGTTTGTTGTAAGTTCGTTCATCTATTTTCTACTTACCACAAAGAATTTGATTGATGTATTTCTGACGAGTCTCTGATGCAATACTGATGGAGACGCTAGAAATGTGAAGGCTATAGGCCAACTTGAGCTAACGTGAAATAGGCCCTTTTCACAGCAGCCCTTTTGACATGTCACAGCAGGGTAAACACAGGTGTAATTAATACTATTAATTATAGTCCCATTCTATTTGGAAGAGGGCCACAATTAATAATATAAATTACACCTGTGTTGATCCTGCAATAGCATGTCAAAATGTCTGCTAGCTACATTATAGCAAAGCACAGAACAAGTACACAAGACAGAAGAGTAAAGAGATACACAAATTGACCTAAAGTAGCAAGTCTACATTTTAGTTTTTTATATATATTTGAGAATTTGTAAAATGCTGAGGACATTAATTTTAATAGCAGGGTATTACTATTTTAAATACACAAATACAGAGAAAGCTGATTGATCAGTTTGGTCATTTCACTCTAGAAGCCTGCACAGAGAGTGTGATATAGAGCCTGGCTGAGGAGCAGGCTGAAAAGCTGTTTGTGTTGAGAACCTTCCAATGTGAACATTGAATATTCTGCTCATTTAATTTTCATTCAATCAGCAGCAAACACTGCCGGCAAACACTCAAAACGTCGGTTCACAGCACAGACAAAAATATATTTTCATAATTATCTCTTATGGTATTAAGAATGCAGATAGTGTGGGTTTTAATTTTCCCCAAATTTTAGATTACTTGTCTCTGAGATTTCTTCCCCTAACCCAATACAACTTAGATGAACAGGAATTTGTTTTTGTTAATCACAGCATTGAACATTTTGGTTAAGAAATTCAACAGAAATAGCCTCCCCAATAATTCACACAGCATCAAATAGAGGAACTGTTTTTTTCTCTTGAAAAGAGTTCTAGTGATAGATGCTATAATTCTGCTGAACCGACACTAAAAGCCAATACTCGTCTGCTGTCAGTCTACATTTGGGAGGCAGACACATTGAAAAGGCCAATGTCAGGCCAAAACCTGCAAGGTAAAGGTGAGGGCTATCACTCACCTTGACAGAGGACGGCTGTACCTCCTCAGTCTGGTCTTGCCGTGCAGTCATGGGATAGTGGAGCTCTGTGGGGAGCCACACAAACAAACACTGGTGTTAGATTCATGCTCTACGTGTGTGTGTGTGTTTGTGTGTGTGTGTGTGTGTGTGTGTGTGTGTGTGTGTGTGTGTGTGTGTGTTTCTTGGCAAGGGTGATGGTCCTTACAGCCAGAACCCAGTTGACACAAACGGCCAAGGGTCAAGCGAGGCTCAGCATCATTTAACTGGAGCCTCTCTGCATAGTTAACTCTGCACCAGCCCATACTCGGCCTATTCGCTTTTTAATTGACGGTGATGAGGTTCATACGAGTGGCAAGAGGAAATGGAGCGCACTTTAGAGCAATGGCGAATTAACATCATGAGAAAGGTCAGTGGACACGTGGACACACACACTTACAAACCCGTCTGGGGTTTGCCCTGGGAGATGTTGTCAAGACAATTGGCTGTCGCTATGGATACACGACAGCAACAAGAGGCGAGTGATAGCCTTCCATTTACTTAAGTCACGATCCGTGCTGTGGCCTCATCAAACACTATCCACAGGTCAACAAATCCATCATGATTCGTGAACCAACCCGCCTTCCTTATGTGGTTAAAATCCCACCCTGAGTCACACAGACACACACACACACACACACACACGCACACACACACACACACACACACACATACAAACACACTCCCGCTGTTCTCTTAGCTGTCTGCCAGGAGCCTCACAGCTGCCTTCCCTCTTTCTTCCCAGCTTTAAAGCGCTGCCCTCATCACCCTCCACCTTGTTAAAAGGGACCCTCCCTGAACAAAAGCAGACCTCTTATCTCACAACATATTGTGAGACTCACATATCCAGGCTGAAAATGAGTGTGAGAATGTGACGTGACGTTAAATGTCACGCACTGACAAACAACACATAGATTGTTGTTCAGAGATGTCACAGAACGCTGGTAGCCTACACCTTCAATTGCCCTTTTATTTTTGATCAGATCTTTTGTTTTGACAGCACAAATAAGTGCTCGTGTTCCTCCTGAAAGAGGCCCCCCCTGCAAGCCGAGCCATCGTTGTTTCATCCAGATAACAAACACCTGCCTTATTTCCACCTAAAGCTCCATGCAGACGGCAAATACGGAGAGAAAATTGCAACCCAAGTCACATCCTCAAGTTGGATCTGAGATTTGGATGGAGCTGTCATATCCTAAAGCCGCTGCTGTCGTCCGCTGATCCTCACAGCCCTCTCATCAACCTCCCGCCCCCCGGAGTCTTAGTTTCCAAAGCGACATCCACGGATTCACTCAGATCAACAATAGCTTTGGAAAAGATCAGATGAAAACAAGTTGTCGGTTGCCTGTTTTCATTGGTGCTCTGCAACACTATACATGCAAGCACTTCAGCCAGGCTAAAAGTGTGATTCAGTAGGTCGTCATCGCCTCAGGGACCTCGTTCATTTTCCTTAATTGTCTAGATTCTCACCTACAGAGCTGTCCCTTGAAAGCATGATGCAACTTTCTGAAACAGCTGTGCTCCTTAAAATGTTTGTCGGCCGCTGTCGACACTTCCTGCAGGTTGTGCCAACCCTCAAACAGAAACACGGACTTGGACGCACAAAACAGGTGGATTCAGGCACTGACCTTTGTGACCTTTGCAGAGGCAGGTGCCCATGGTGTCAGGACGGCCGGGCGGTTATCTGTTCACCATGGTGGCTTGAGGATGAGGAGGATGAGGCGCGGGTGAAAGGGAGGGAGAAGGGGAAGCAAGGCAGGGAAGGAAAAGGAGGGATGAGCCAGCAGAGGAGCAGAGAGAGGCGAGGAATTGAAGCAGGTGGGAAGTACGAGTGGATGCCCAGATGAGCTGCAGGCTGATGCATTGGCTGACTTTTCTGTATAGGAGAGGAGAGAGGTGAGGGAGCGACACAGACAAAATGTGGGGAGGGGAGACAGAGAGAGAGAGAGCGAGAGAAGAAATCGGGGAGAAAGCATGAATGCCTGTTTGCTGACGATTTTGAATCTCCTCCCCTCTATTTTCTCTTCTACTCTCCTCCCTCTCTACTCTTCCTCTCCATCCCACTGTATGGAGGAGACTCACATTGTGAATGGAGGGCTTGACGACAGAGCAGAGCTATATGTTAAATATGTTAGTGCTATTTTGATATGGGAACAATTCAGCACATTGTATTAAAGTACCAAATAATGTCTACCTGCTGCTACAAATGTAACAATACTGTTTTTGATGCGTGACATGAAAGAATATTTAACTGTTTTCCTTGAAATCAATATCTCATCAAATAATTCACACTGTGCAACAAATGGTAGTGAAAGTACAAACAGTTTTGTCAAGTATGTCACAGAGTAACAAATAATTAATCACAACAAGGTTCACAGTGAGAGTATCGGTACATAATGCTTAGGAATTTTGTGGCTTTCCTGTATCGAAGAGATAGAATCTGATTATTGCCGTTTATGGGTCTATATGCTCCGAGAACTCTGACATCTTAAATTTCTAGTTTTCACAGATTTAAGTTTCATAAAATTCAGACATATAGACTCAATAACACACATTCACACCTCAATACACAGCATGCTGCGTCTCCTGTGACCTCGTTAGCTCTGTCACACACACACACACACACACACACACCTGTAATGAAATGTGTGAATGCCGGGATAATGGAACCAGGGCTCTTGCCGTGGGGGAAAATCATGTTGCCATGCCATCTTTTGTCCTTTGATACTTAATAAGTAATGGTGGATATAAAATAAAATGGGGTTATCATTGCTAATATACGTATACACATGATAACATGACGGCTGGCCTCCATGGGCGGAGGCAGGTGAGGTTGGTGTGGACAATAAGCCTCACTTCCTGAGGACTCCTCCTGGAACAACCGTACATTAAATCAAACCTTCAGCAAAAGTGTGCCGACTTTTCAATTAGTCTTTTGTGTCTGGTGGGAAATCCCTCCTTCATTCATACATTTACTATTCCCTGTTTAAGAGACACTCAGTATACTCAGCGAAGACTATAGTCTACTGCCTATGTGTTACCGTATTTTTAGTCTTCACTGTAAAAAAACACAAAAGTACAGCCAGCAAAGTTTCCAGACAGATGCCTGTCAAATTACAGCAATTAGCCGTTCCACAAAATTACAGTGCAGTTTTTAGGACAAAACGGGACAGTTGCAAGTCATTGTCTAATGCTCACTGCTGTGTTCTTGACACCTTCACATCTTACAGAGGCTTCACTCAGCGGCTACTTGCTCATCGAGGTGCCTGATTGTTACGTCTGAAAGCATTGACAGAGTGTCGGTTTTGTTCCATCACCAGGTTACTGAGGTCAGGGTTAGATCTACTAGTATAAGATAGAAGTTGTACTTTTTTTCCTAAGAATTTCTTGACTCCTGAAAGACGAGGACCATTCTGCTTCCAGTTCTTGTGAAATCTATCTTGAATATTTGTAATGATCTTATGGAACTTTTTCAAAGACTTTCAGATGCCTAAAGTCGATATTGAGACCCAATCGGCATGGCAGAGAAACCTGGTTGGGAGCAGTCTGACCTCTTGTGGTGAAAAGGCAAAAGTGCAGCAGTTCTGTTATCACATATCTATCGCCCTATATTTTAGAAAGCAATGCCACAAACCTCCACATGTGTTTTCTGTTGACTCCTTGTGAACTGTGTTGTTAATCCAAACGTGGAACACTGCAGGAGGGTGCAGGAGGCCCTCCTGCCTCTCACCTTGCATGTTGCAGAAACCTTTTTGTCCCACTGCCTGCTTTCTGATGTCCCTTATGTGTGCCTGGATTTCTAGTATGTTTGGAGATTCTATCACACAAAATATTTCTTGAATCTTGAATTTCATTAGATGAGAACATGTTGTTTTTTTTTAGCCCAGTCGTTGAGGAGAGCAAAGGGAGCAGGAGGAATGTGTAACGTCTGCATATACTGTGATGCTCCTCACTGGGAAGCCACAGACATTCAGCAGCAGCCATTTCTGTTCCCCTTTAGGCAAAGAGGGAGTTGGATGCCTTTCAATACCGGATGATTCTCAAATAGCACCATTTATGTGCGCATAGTACATGAAACACGTTTTCAGTTCGGAGTGTCGAGTTATGACGGAATACAGGTGTGATTACTTTGATTCTGTAATTGATAAATGATCCACCTTCGGGGGAAATTTAACTTCTATTTTAGTTTCAGTCTGTGTCAATGTGGGAATTTCCAACTCTGATATATGTTAAATATGATGGGGGGGTGGCGGGGGACCTTGGAGGTATGTTATAAACCTTTCACAAGGTCAAGCTTACAGACCACCATGTTTTTTTATAGAGCCACCCTGCTTCACGTTCACACAGCCCCACGTTTCACACCCGGAGGGGATCCACATGGTTTGGCTACAGTAGCTCTACTTAAGGTTGCAGAGCACATGCAACAACAAAATCAATCCTGTTGAGGCTCAGATGAAGGCTTGTTTGGTAGACAGTGTGAGCCTTTAGCTGAGATCAGAGTCTTGAGCTTTTGGCGATTCTTGCTGCCATCGTGGTTTGTATCCAAAATGACCACCTAATTCAAATCTTTCAATCAGCTTAAGGCTAACTGAGAGCAGAATTTATCTACTGTTTCCAGCAACATAGATCTCCTTCAGGCATTGTAAAATCACCCTCACGAAGCAGAACAAGCTATATAGACACAAACACAATAATCACTCAGGTGATCGTGATCTACATGATTGATCACAATCATCTACACTCAAGTTGGCCCAATCAGAGCAGGGCTGAACACCGCTGTGGGATATTCCACTTGGGGGACAGAGCATTCCTCCCTGAAAAGAGCCTAGAAATATCAAGACTAATGTTTGTGGCATATATTAAATATAACATATCAAATATACATCATGACAATATAAAGAAAAAACCTCTAATACATTGAAATACTCAGAAAAATAAAACAAATTTCTAACTTTGGAGGTTCCGACGCCCGAGAATAAAGCTCACTCCATTAACATCTGGTTAAAAGTGTTAGCTGGAGCCCTGTTTGGACCGTCATGTGCAGGATTTGATTATGTTTTTCTTTGTTTATGTATTTTGGAGTCATTACAAGATCTACATTTGATCTACTTTTACGTGGTATTCATGAGGAAGCTGAGAAAACCTATGTGGAGCTCCTTGTTCTGCGCTGGCTTTTCACTTTTGCTCTCTTTGCAGAGTTCGGGGACACACGTGCCAAGCAAAACATGAGCAATGCTGGGAAATGCCTCGCCGAAACAAGGGACGACAGCCTGTTGTCCAACACGACTAATCGTGTGAGACCTTCTGAGGGAGTGTGAGGGACTTTCTGTGGCTTGCCTGCACATTTGGACGGTGACTGGAAGTCTCGGTTCCATTTGTCTCAATAACTAAGTAATCATAGTTGTATGTCTTGTGTGTTAGCGCCTCACTCTGCCAGAACTCGCTCTGTGTCAGCCACAATGGAACCATAATATTAGCTCTAGAATCACATGATAGACGGAGCATGTTGAAAACCACTGTCTGCAGACAGACAGACCACTCTTCACTCCCTCCCCTGCCCCTTCTGATATCTTCTCCTCATTTTCAGTGTTTTGCCACAGACGCACCAAAATAGCCCTCCTAGCCTTGAGGAAAACATATTCTGATGACATAAACCTAAATGACTGCTTTGTCCCACAAAAAAGGGAATGTGAAAATGAGGAGGACTTTTGCCGGCTAATGGCTTTGGTTACTTGGCCTGCAGCAAAGTTGGCAAGGTCTGTCAAGGCTACACCAACAGGAAATTGCATTAATCCAAAGCTGGGCTGAAGTAATTCACTCCCTTCTTTATTCAAGGCTTTGCCAGCGTTTTCAGCGGACCACCTCGGCCGTCCTGGTAAGAGAAGAACAGGAGTGAGAGGCCTGGGGGCCTGACTGAAACCTCCCCTCCATGTGCTCCCTAATTGGTTTAATGACCGTAATTATCTGCTGGGGTGCATGTTGTGCAGGGGACGATTAATGGCCTCCAAAACATATGCAGACAGGCGGAAATTAAGAGGGGGGGCGGGGGGGGGGGGGGCTGAGACAAAGAAAAAAAAAGAGCCATAAAGTCGCAGAGAGAGACGCATCCTGCTGGGTAAGAGAGCTACAATAATGACACAGCGTTTTCTTTCTTTATGGGAATTTTGTTGCTGTTAAAATGTCATATTAACTTCTAAAGCTTGGTTCTTCATTTGATAGAAAAAAAAACATTTACTGGATGTAATCTGAGGCACATTTACAGGACATGCCACCCATGCAGTGAAAAAGGTAAAAGCGAACGCTCCAGAAAACATCCACACATAGTAGGCCTACAGGAGCCACCACAGCGGAATGACTTACGTCACAGTACCACTGATGTCCTCTAGATGCTGGCTGCAAAAGATCTCTGACTGTATTATAAAAAATATACTTTTCAGCGATAATAATTGGTTTGGATCACAAGTTTGTGTCAGGATGGTGAATTCCTCTCTAGGGCTGCGACTAGATTAAACAGCAAATGTGTGACCTTTTTCATTGTGTAGCACCTTCAACCCCTCGCTACCTCAGACCTGTTAGGCAGACAGTTTTAGGAGGAATTTGGTGCAGTAAGACTGCTGTGCTGCCGCAGTTTGACGATTCTCTCCTTGACAAAACCTCCTGCAGTAGCCAGAAAGGCACCTTTAGGTGAGCAGCACCGAGACATTTATAGGCTCTCGCAAAGACGGATTTGTGTGAATTTTTATGTGTTGAGTGACATCAGCAGTGCCATTAGCAGGAATATGGAGTGAATTAGGCCGGCGTTTCAAAATATACAAAGAGTCTGCAGAAAGACAAGGCTTATGTCAACAGCAGCTTGTGTGTCTGGTCTCTG